TATAAAAAGTAAAAGATGTCCATAATAACGTCCCAATATTTGAAAAACTAGAGTCAGCAGCTGTTTGATATTCTTTTACGTTTAAAAAAAAGGCTCCAACAGTTAATCAATTACCACCTTTGTTGCCAGCTTATTTTCTAATGATAAATTAACTGATACAATGATTTCGTATTTATCTATTTGTTTCACCTTCTGAACTCGAAAACTTGCCGACAGGTTTGAAAGGAATGCTGTCGACACAAATCTGACAAAATGACACCAATTACGAGAGCCAGAAAATGTAAAAACACAAAGAACCGTAACTTAACTTTCCAGTGGTCTTTGAACTGCTCATCTGTGACGTGCCGTTCGATCAGGAAAATGAACCAAATCTAAACTTAAAATTGGGATCTTGTATCAGAATAACTTTCATCTACATGTCTCATTGATTTTTTAAGTTAACCGTTTGCTCTAGATCGAGGCCACGACTAAATCAGCTGAGACCAACAAAATTCGGCGACTTTTTCGTCTGAGCATAATGTGAATAGTTAATTATCTGTAGTATGTGGTCACTGTTTATTCCAGAATTGGTATCAATTAAAGAAAGCCATCTTTCGTTTTTACTTTTTACTGATTTACGGCATTGTAACTTCTCTCTACTTCTAGCCATGGCTGTTTCCATAGAGGTGCAGGACTTTACATTGCAGTGAAAAATGAGCCCACAGTGAATAAAAATGTATAAACTGCAGAGAACATCCAGTAAGTGGTTGGAAAAAAATATTTTTTAGATAAAGATTTTCCCTATGGTCAATAACGTGAAGTTTTCCCTCATCTTATTACCACACAGAAATACAAAGCCCATTGTCATCCGTGACAAATTGATTTTACAGCTGTTTAAATCTGCAGAAAAAGGGTGGTTTTGCTTTGAACAAATATTTGTTTTTTGTTGTTTTTTTTTTTAATAATCTGTTAAGACTTTGAACCAGGATGTGATAAGAACAGGAAATGATAAGCAGAATGTGAAAGAGAATCAGTAAAATCTAAATAATATCCACGCCTACTGAAATGCTCCAATGTGACCCAGAGGAGAGGAAACCAAAGCTGCACTCTGATCAAAAAGATTAATGTGTTCATCGGAAGATACCAGAAAATCAGCCTAGTCTCTTAAAGCATTGTTCTCCGAGTCTATTAAGGGCCTCGCTGGAAACTAAACTTTTTTTTTTCTTTTTTCTCGAAAGTAACAGAAATTATGCTCGTCCAGTTAATTCATGCCAGTTTTTTCAGGACGGATCGGTTATTTGTATAAATAGGAGGATATGACATCGTATGGAGGAAAATCTTAAATGTGGCTAAAACGTATAGAAGACTAGAACTGATAATGGATGACTGCCAACTATTAGAGCCCTCATGAACTCAACACTGTCTTCTCACCAAATCACAAAAACATGCTAGTCTTCCTGGAAATGCTCCTGCTGCAGACTATTTACGAAGAATTACACTCTTTCCAATGTCAAATTACTTCTTCATTCTGCAGATTTTCTTGTGTTTTGCTTCTGAGAAATACGACGCAGCATCTCAGACGCTGCATGCGACGGACAAACGGAGAAACGAGAAGCACAAATCCATTAAACCGTGAGGTAGACTTCAGACATGAATCACTGCCGTATTGATATAGTGGCCTCAGGGTTTGTAATTCTGCTGTATTCTGACACACCCCGTCTGCTCAAGTGGCGGCTAGTTCCTGGCTGAAGCAGTCTTTAGCGCTGATAAGGAAACAACCACAGTGCCGTGCCCACCTCTGCAGCTTTTAGCAAACAGCTGCCAATGTAATCGCTTTTCGTAGCTCCAGGGTGCAGGTGAACAAAACATCTAGAATCTGAATGTGTGTGGATGATGAGCCAGTGCACAGACACGACTCTCCACGAAAACATGCACACAATCTTTTTGCTTCCCAACTTTTGGCCACAAGCTGAATGATAGATGACAGTTGTACAACTTAATAAACTGTAATTACAAGAGCAGAAAATGTAAGAATCATAACTGAGGCTGTATTTACTGTGTACATAACAGACTCAGCTGCCAGTCAAAAAGCTGCCAAACATCCACATTACTGCAAATATGTGTTTTACATGTCAGCATTGTTCAGATGTGAGTCTGATAAGCTGAGACGGAGGTATGGAGTACGTAAGTCGTGCTTCGGATGCTGTGAATACCTTTACAATGCAGTATGCTTGAAGCTGAACAGAAACAGCACGTTGGTCCTGTAGGAGTGTCTGACAGGCATTGTGTTTAAAATGCTATGAATTTTTCACATTTCTCCCAAGTTTCATTGAAGGCGCACTCAGCTGACGTGAAGTTTAGTTTATGGATCGCGTAGTAATCGGCCCGTGAATGCAGATGTTCTGTATAATGACTTCTGTGGAGCTAAGGGAGGTTTTTTTTTTTTTAGAATTTGACGATTTAACCTACATGTCACGATCGGGTTTATCTCGGGGTGGATTTGAAATTTAAGATTTGTAACAGAGAGTTTACACTCGTTTGAATTTCGCAAAATAATGTGTCACAGTCAGCGAAATGTAAGATCCAGTGTGTTTTAGGCTTAACTCACATCAGCAACGTACAATCTGGTTATTTCAGCGTCATTTGGCTACATTGACTTCAGATGTTGGATTTTTGCTGGTATTTTTTTTTTACTTAATTGCAGAAAACATCAAGTCTCTCCTGCATTGAAGTTCACATATTATTAAAATTAACAGATATGTCATAAAATACATTTTGAAACCTTAAAATGTTGGGCTTTTCAAATGTACACATTGACTGAGCAACATGAGAAAACTACCTAAGGTTGCCGTTTTGATTTTTATTCGACATTTTGTCAATTTCTAGCTGGCAGGCCTGTCAATGTTTATCTTGGGCTGAATTTTGAACACTTTATATATATATATATTGGGCTTTTTGCTTTTATTTAGAGCAGTAGAGACAGACGGGGGGGTTAAGATTGGGGAGAGACCTGCAGCAGAGGGTCATGAGCAGGAGTCGAACCCACGAGCGCTGCATCGGGGAACTACAGCCCCTGTTCATGGGTCACCCGCTCAACAAGGTGAGCTATAGGGGCACCCTTTTCTTAAAAATCTGTAAGATTTTATGAAAGAATTGCATTTAATGAGCTTGTACAATGACTATTTTAGCATCAGTTATCGTAAATAATTCATCAAGATGTGGTGTTTTGGTGGCCTAGAGGTCAATCACCTCTCAATTCTCCACTCATTTTACTTCAAAAGTCTACCACTAAGGAATGAATACTAAAATACTTAATGCCATTTTATATGCCCATTGCGCCATTAATACTGGTCCATAAACTGATCTGATGGTTTACAATACTGGGGACAAGCAGCAATACACAAGTCAGTCTAGCTACAGTATAAAAGCTTAATGCATGCGCTGTAGATAACACGTGTATGAACTGTGGCCGCGGCTTTAACGTTTGACGTCCCGGCATCATGCAGAAAGGGCCATTACTTCACAAAACAAGAGTCTGAAACAGAAACTCGGGTCGGACGTTGCCGCTGCGCTCTTGAGTCACATTTTCCATGCGTGCACGTGGAAACGAACCTATCAGCGTATGTGAGTGCATGTCCACTGACAGCTCGAGCGATTGCGTAATTCACAAACCTCACACCAGTTTCGACACTTTCAGATCAGCCAACATTCAGCTTCCTGTTCTACTCTTTTCAACTTTGGTGCATTTTTTTAATCTCCTTCAGGGAGCTTCTGTTGTCTTGTCGCTCGACTCGGCAGAGACAAAGTGTTGTTTCTGAAAAAGTGGCGTTTTCTATTTGAAACCGATCATAAAAGGCATTGAAACTTGCGCTGGGTGTATGAATATGTATTGTGAAGCGGTGATTTCAGGGCAGGAAACAGGACCAGAATGTTTTGTTGGTCCATGTCATATGACCAGAGAGAAACACCGAGACAAAGACCCTCTTACAAATCTTTAAGAGTAACTGAGCTCTTATCCAGCGGTGCTTTGAGACCAACAGTGAAGGTTGCAGGGATGCAAAAGACGGAAACAAACACAGACACACGGGTATTATCACACTATAAGTGAGTCACTTTGAAAGTCAAAAGTGACGCAAAGGTGGCTTGGCAACACCGAATGCATGGTGTGAAGATGAAGTGGAAGTGTGTCTGCCATCTTTGTGAAGAAAAGATCCGTTTGTCTCAACTTCCCTGCTCTGTTGTTCTCACTTTGCAGGCTTTTATGATGTTAATTGCGGAAAGTCACATCACAATGAGGCTAAAAATATTCAAAACTGTCACCAGCATTCACACACACACACACACGACCAACAACCTTCTCCTCTTTCTCTTTGCCTGCCCTAGTTTACTTGAAGAAATTGCTTTAATCTACTTTAGTTTCACATTTTGGATGCTACAAAGTGCACGGGGGCTGTCTGGATGCATTAGATGCATTCATGCACAGCAGGTTTACTCCAAACCACCACATCAGAAACAAGGTCAGACCAGAGAAGCACGTCAATAGGTTTCTCTTTGTGCAGGTACAGATGGTTTATCTGCTCTGTAATTGCACCAGGATGTGCTCTATTTGTTGACAAACGCTGCAGAGTTAGCCTCACTAATTTGTGACTTAAATAGATTTTTAAGAGTTAATCAGACACTAAAACGCCTTTAAATGCAAAGTCCCAGGAAGTTTTTAGTGGCTTGTTTTTCACTTAACTGGCATTAAAAGGTTTTATTTGGTTGTTTATGATGAGCAGGAAGGACAATAAAGTGGCTTTATCACACTTGGTGCTAGCTACCAGTGAATATTAGGCATTTTAGCTAACTTGTGTGTACTGTTATAACCTCAAATTGTATGTTCCTGTTATGCTGCTTTCTAATTTGCATGTTAAATTAGTGCAGAAACATTCATTATGGGATCACAGGCTACAGTTTCTGACTCATTCCTGTCAACGCAACAGTCCCACTAATACAAATTACAGCTTTTTTCTAGAACTTACCTTCCCAAACTTTTGATGCTGCACATAAAGTTGTCCCTCCTTGACGTGGGTGTCCATGCCCCTCCACAAAGATGAAATTAGCTGCCTTGAACTTGACAGAAGAAAGTCACTTCTTTCTTTTTTTTAATGGGTTTATTTTGTCCTTTATCCTCTCCAAAACAACAACAACTTCCCCTTTTTCTCTCACTTCAGCTCTCCGGCCGGTAAAATGTTGGTACCGCAGCGCTCCCTTAAAAGTGTCATGGTGGGAATTAAAAAAAAAAAAAAAACTACGGTCCAAACAGTTAGAGAAGCGCTCCAGAAGTCAGAGAAGGTCCAAATGTTGTCGGCGGCTCGTCTGTCTGTCGCCTCTCTCTCTCTCTCTCACTCCTCCTGCAGGGCTGAACCGGCGGAAAGCTCGAGGAAGCGCGGCACACGGCGCTTCCGGCTGGCGCTGTCAAAATAAAAGCGCGATGGCGGCAAAACACAATTCATCAATAGAAGTGTATAAAAACTCCCGGAAATAAGAATAAGAATGATACGTTTTATATTGCGCTTTTTAAGAAACTCGAAGACGCTTTAAATAGATGGCATTCAAAATTGGTTACATTTTTTTTTATTATTAAATGCACTGCTTTCAAAGATAATTATTATCTAAAATATTTTTCTTCTCAATAATAGAATAGAATAGAATAGAATGCCTTTATTGTCACTATACACATGTACAATGAGATTAAGAGCAGCTCCTTCAGTGCAATATAGAATAAAGTACAAAATAAAGAGCAAAAATTAAAAAATAGAAGAGATTTAAGTATAAAATAAGTTATATATACAGTATACAGTATAAGTTATATGTACAGTATGAATTTAGAAAAATATTGCACAGCATAGCCATTGATGATATTGCACATTTGTAGAGTTTACAAGTTAACTTATCTGCTGATGTCTATTCAATTCATTCAATTACAATAAATAAATAAATAAATTGTCCCCTTGGGGCAATTTGAGAAACCATGAGCAGTTGGATCAACAAATAAACAGTTTAAGGTGCAGATACATGTCCCCGATATATGGGAATCTAAATAAAGTAAGTAAATAAAGTGAATCCATGCTTCACCTATCATTAAAAAAAATCCAGAATCTGTCAATCTGCCATTACTTTTCATTTCAAAAGTTTAACTAATGCATACAATATGTGTAATAATTTGCTGTATGTTCATGTTCTAACTATGTGCAATGCAGGAAAGTCAGTCAAACTCACCTGAGTATCCTCCTGGAACAGAATTTATTTCAATTCAATTCAAATAACTTTATTTGTCCCCAAGGGGCAACTGAAAGCAATTCAAGAATTGGCCTCAAGATGAGCTCAAATGTCATAAATCCAGCTCACATGTGCACACCTACCTTCAGTTTAGATCGTAGCTGAGCTCAGAGAAACCTTCCAGCTGAAGAATCTAAAGACAGTCTTCTAGTATCAGACTCTGAGCTTGCACCATTCTGCATAATTAAGGTCAAACATTCAAGAAAAGTAGCATCTACCAAAACAGATTTCTGAGTAGAGTGGGACCTTAGAGCTGTGTGTTCTTATTGTGTTCCCTTGCAGTGATCGTGTGCATGTTGGGCCGGTGTTACACTCGTCCGCTAGTTTGCAAGAATTGAGTGTTGATCAAAATACAGACACTGCAGGAGGTGGGCAACAATGTGTAGATATGACCTACAGCACAGTCATCTAAGTGGGCTCCAGAGGACGAGAAGAATTTTATAATACTACACACAACTTCAACTACAGATCTCCATTTAAGTCGTGCTTTAGAATGTAATTATCATACCTAACTATTTTGCAGTAATGTGATGCAACACAGTTTTATTTTAGAACACACACCATGTACCTACAAGTTAAAGAGAAATATTTAAGGCTTTTGATCTCGTCCAAATATACTTACAGTTCTTCATTATTGCAACAGCTGTTTAGTTATAGGACACTAATAGTAACAATTACCAATCAAAAAAAAAGAAGCTTGAAGATGTCTGAAGTTAAATCATGCAGTAAGTAGAGCTCTAATGAATTCACCAGCTTGGTTTAGTCAGTGGTATTTAAATCATCTGAAACAGGAAACTCAACAGTAATGTTTAGTTGCTGTAAAAGGTCAACTGATTATTATAAACATAAGACACATCATCATAATTTACCAGACGTAGCTATTCATGGAGGAACTTCAGAGTCTATGCTTTACAAAGCGCTGAAGTGGTCATAAGTGTGACATTCAAAGGCTTTATTATTATAGGCAGCAATAACGAGCTATAAAAAATAAAATTAGTTCTCTGTCGCTGTAAAGTGCAGCCATTGACCTACTTACACAATACATTTATCAGACACACTTTGCTCACAATATATATACATGTACATGACAGTGCAACAAGGTCATGTACAGGAAGGAGCACATGCAATATTTATGGTGCGGAAAAAGTTCAGTTCTGCTCTTTTGAATTGAGGTAGATAATGTTGAACTTGCAAAACACTGAAAAAAAAAGAGGATGTGCAAAAGAAGCTGTAAAACAATATGTGTTTTATAGTGCAAAGGTGCAAAAATATACCATAGTGCAAGGTTGTTATACGTCCTGTGAAAGCCAGCATGAATAGGTCCTAAATAGAAACAGACTGTGAACTCTTACTTTGATACCCGGACTAACATGCAGTGTAAGTGCTTCATGCAGCTGTGTTCCTGCAGGAGGAGCGAGCAGCAGCATGGTGAGCGCTCAGAGCCGCTCCTCTTCTTCCCTCCTCCCACCTCCTCGCTCTTGTGTAACTGTTGGTTTCAGCTCTGACACACGCACTTTCTAACGCAAATATAAACTACATGCATTACATAAACTAAAGCGTGCATGTGGTGATTATGCTGTCAAATAAACTGTGGGATCATCACTGCAGAACCAAATCGGAAAGACAACTGCTGTTATTCCACGTGCAAAGAAATGTGAACTCGCTATTAGTGCTTAAATATCCTCCAACTACAGAAATATCGCAGGAATTTGGAGTTCGGCAGCCTTTGTTGGCAAGAGAAGCTGGCCCCCAAATTAATGTGTTGCAGATGCCTCCTGCTGGCTCACGGTGTAACTTGGTGTCCCTGTTTTCAGCCCATTACCGAACGGTGCTAAATCTCTGTCAATATTATTCTTGACATTCAGCATGGATTCTTAAACCATGAGTCAAAACACATAATGGGTTTTAATTGGCCCGCGTTCCTTCCCAAGATCAGAAATTTCTGTTCTTTTTCCTGTCGTTCGGTTTTTGTCACATATTTGCATTTTAGAAAACCTTAAGGCCTTACATAAACCTTATATAACTGTTGGGTCAGTGGGATTTTTGTCTAATTTTGAGTTCCTGTAACTTATGATGGCATGCAAATACACTTTAGGTTTGTTCAGCTTTGAAAAGTAAGTTCCTCTTCTGCTTTAAAATGAGAGTCAACTGGTTCAAATGCATCTCATAAGCTGTCAACGTGTAAAACTGGCTGAGTGAAGTTAAATGAACTTGAAAAAACAAGTTCAATGAACTTAAGACATTAAATTGAACCAGCTAGCCACAAAGACGACAATTCCAGACTATCTGTGAGGCTCCCATATGCTAATTTATTGTCCTATAAGCTTAATTTAATAAATTGAGTGAACTCTCAGGTGTTTGAAGTCACAAGGCCTCATTTTTTAGATCTTGTGTTTCTCAAAAACTCTTCTAATAAGAAATTTTAAGTTCAATCAACACAGTACTATATGTAAATGAGCTACAGTTGTAGGATCACACTCTAGGACACTTGTTTTCAATAACAACCCCATCTACTGAACTGGTCGATAGCAAAAGTGCACCTCCATTATACCCAAATGCAGCTTTTTAAAGGTTTATTCCACCTAAATATTACCCGCTAACGAACAAAAGTTATGTTTTTGAAGATTTATTCCACCCAACCTACCACTTTCCATTCACAAGCTATAATTTTAAAGGTTAATTCCACCCAAAATAATACTTTATCTCCAGGGCCTTACTGATTTAAAGGTTTGTTTAATCCAAGTACTGTTTTCTAACTGCAATTTAGGTTTGTTGCTAAGAGTTGCAAACTATAAAAATTGTGTAATTAGAATAATTAGGTCATTATATTGGTAAAATAACTTTGTAGTCACAAGGGTGATACTGTCTTGAAATAGAAAAGATCCTAGAACCACATTTGATAAACTAGAAAAATAAATGGATGTCAATAAATGTCTTTATGATGTTTCACTCTGTGTAATTTGACCTTTCTGTAGTATATCTATCTGTGTATATTTGTGCAAACAGGCAACATTTAAAATTTGTTTCTACTGTATCTTATCATATTTTTATTTTTCTCATTTACATCTTTGAGTGACCTTATGTTGCTTGTTTTATGATTTACAACCTTCCCTGTTACACCACACTCACTTCCCATTAACCTGCATAGAGAGACACAGCTGCCACCTGCTGGTCAGGATCCAGCATTGCAGGTTGGAGCCGCTCGTCTACTGTTCTCGCGATATTTGCGCAGTCGCTCGGACCAAAACAGGAACTAAGACATGGCATCCGTCTTCGGTGGAGTAGAAGGGTGAGAATGAGTTAAAATGTTCAGAAAAACTTGTCCACGTTTGTTTCTATGAATTATCAGTGTAGGGTTGTGTGTATTGGAGGCTGTTATTTCCGTTTTTTGAGTTATTTATAAATGCTAAACTAGACTACACGCTTTTTTTCTGAGTGTGTGTGTCTCGTGACCACTTCTCTTCCCAGCAATTTTGTAGGATTTCACTTTCAGTTGAAGTTTCTCAGCATTTATTTCAAATATATCGTTTAATATGCCTGTGTCGGTGAATTTTTAATATTTGCTGGGCTTCTTGCACCCCTAAACAAAGTCTGCCAGTACCTTTTCTGCCTTACTTAAATTCTTTTTAAGGTTTTGCTGTCTTGTTTGTCATTATTTTATGTGTTTCTGTCGTTATCATTCCCTTCGTCCAGTGGAGGGACCCACTCCAAAGCAGTGTTGCTGTCTTCAGATGGAAAGCTCCTGGTCGAGACAACTGGACCGTCCACCAACCACTGGGTGAGCTGAAGTGATGAAGGATCCATTTAACATAACCAAGGAGGGACAGATGATGAACTGATGAAGGATTTGTAAGTTTCTTAAATGTCTAAAATGCAACTGATCTTCTAAAGACTTTTCTTGTGTGTTCCAGTTGGTTGGGGTGGACAAATGTATCGAAACCATCAACGAGATGGTCCAGAGAGCCAAGGTCGAGGCAGGACTGGATCCAAACACACCGCTGTGCTCACTGGTCAGTGGAACTGTGTTTGCCATGTGCAGGTTCTTGACAGGTTAAACAACACCAACTCTAAATTCTGATTTGTGTGCATGAAGGGCATGTCTCTGAGTGGAGGGGAGAAGCAGGATGCCAACGACAGACTGATGGCTCACATGAAGGAACGCTTCCCCAGCCTCAGCGAGCACTACTTCATCACCACCGACGCCATCGGAGCCATGGCAACGGCCAGCGACCGTGGTAACCTGTCATTTTCTGTCACGTCTTTGTACTGCAGTCAATCCTGAGCACAAAACTTAAAGACGTTTGTGTAGGAGTTGCCTGCATTTACTCTTAATTTAATCTTGAATCTTCAATTCATTCTTGTTTTCTACCATGTTTTTTTGTAGTTAAATACAGATAATATAGTATATGTTTTACATGGTATACATTTTTAAAGGATACAGGTGTGCACATCAGCTATTGTTTTACCAATTAATTGAATTCTAGAAGAATTGACCACACATTTGAAAGCTTCTCATGGCTACATATACGGCTGAAAAACAGGGTGAGGCTTGATACTATAACCGTTTAGGTGACACATATATATCACCGTTTGTGTGTCTTTCCAAACTTTATGGCTTAATGACACCATCGGAGTCATCTTTGTTATCATATAGCAACGGTCAGCCCAGCTCAGACAGGCTCTGTTTCTTCTCAGGGGGTGTAGTCCTGATATCAGGAACTGGCTCTAACTGCAAGTTAGTCAATCCTGATGGCTCACAGATCGGCTGTGGAGGCTGGGGTCACATGATGGGCGACGAAGGAGCAGGTAACCATGGCGATATCATAGACTGGATGTTAAAGATGGACGTAGAAAGCGTTAAGTCACCCACTGGTTTGTGATGTATATTTAAAGCATCGAGTTTGGCATCTGGCGTCGTTATGTTTTGAAACCTGACATGAGTAAACGGTGGGTCTGACTGGATACTTGAGGACGCTTCACATGCTGATTTGATAGCTGTCAAACAAAATATAGCTTCGCCCTAAAGTATACCCTGCTTTATTGTTCATTTTACTCTAAATTGAACCATAATTTACAAAAGGAGCTTCGTGCTGTATTGAAAGAGATGTGAAACTAATGATTGAGACCATAAACTCATCAGAAAACATAAACTGAGATAACAAATCAAGTGAGAAGCAGGATCACTCTGTCATAGTCTTAAGGTTTATGGCTACGTCCATCTTTCATATACAGGCTATTGGTGATAAATAATCTACGAATAATAGCTTTATGTTTTAGATAAAAGCCTTTAGGTATTGTTCTCTCTCTCAGCATTCTGGATTGCACATTCGGCTGTGAAGACGGTGTTTGATGCCAGTGACAAACTGGTTGAGCCTCCTCACGACATTACACATGTTAGAAAAGCCATGGAGGAGTACTTCCAGGTAAGACTGCCACAACTTATTTATACAATGATACGAGCTCATGTTTGTGCTGAATTAAACTTTATGCTGATGTTGCATGTGGGCCAATCAGAATTGATGCAGGACTTCGAACATCTCTGGGATCACAGATTTGAGTATCATCTGATTTATGGAAAGCATTTTTCTCTTATCTCAGGTGTCAGATCTCATGGGCATGCTGCCACACCTCTACAGAAACTTCCAGAAGCCCCACTTTGCAGGTTTCTGCAAGATACTGGCCGAAGGTGGGCAGCACATTACTGTTGCTTAGTTTTGATATAATAAAGAAAAAGATCAGTAGGTAAAATGTTAAACTATGTCTGTGTGTTAAAGGTGCACAAGCAGGGGATGCTCTCTGTCAGTATGTGTTCATTCAGGCTGGGAGAGTCCTGGCAAAACATGTAGAAGCAATTTTACCCGCAACACAGGAGGTAGCACACTTGCACAATCCTGAACTTTCACTCATTTAAACAATGAATACAAGCACTTCTCTCAATCTCTTCCTCTTTTTTTTTTTATTGTCAGCCTTTATTGAGCGGTGCCCTCGGCCTACCCATCCTGTGTGTGGGCTCAGTGTGGAAAAGCTGGGAGCTCCTGAAGCCAGGTCAGTGGCCCTGCATCATGAAACCCTGGCCCTTAACTGCCTTTCCCTTCATTTTCATACTCAAAGACAAAGAAAACGCTGCTGTAGAGAAGAAGTCTCACTGTCTTTTCCCCCCCAGGCTTCACTGAGGTCCTGAATACAGTAGCATCATCTGACAAGTTCAAGGGCCGTTTCCGTGGCTACAGCCTCCTGATTTTGCAGCAGTCGTCAGCCGTCGGAGGCGCCAGTCTTGCGGCTCAGAGTTTAAGTGCCACTTTAACTATGGATTATGCAGCCAATGCCAAGGTCTTCTACCAACACACCTTCAGCAGCAGCTAATGAGAAGACAGCTGAGGAAGATGTACTGGCCAGTTTGCAATTATTGTCATATTTGTATCATGACGACTATGACCAAACAACAAGCTTGTAAGAAAATATTGCACATAATTTCACTACAGGATACCAAAACAGTAGTTGAAAATATTCCAGAAGTCAGTGGTTTGGCTTTAACAGCTGTGTGACAGATATCCAAACTTTTATTTTACTGTTAAAGCATTTTTATTTTATTTTTTGCACTTTTAAACACTAGTTCACATTCATGATTGACAATAAAAGCACTGTGAAATGAAATATTCTCTGACCCTCAAAAAATTCCAATGAAGTGGAGATCCATTAACTAACTTTATGTTTACAAATTTAGAAATTAGTACATTCAAGGGCAAGTTTTGTAAGTCTTCACAGATTGTTAAAAGTACTTTGTTGTTTGCTTGTAAATTGCACCATTAGAATAAATTTCATCAGAGGGTTTGTTGTTGTTTACTGATAAGGCAATAAACATTTCCCCCCATGGATCCACAGGCACTCATTTCTGTTCCAGTTTATTCCATTTTATGCAACACATTTTGTCATTTTGAGACATAAGGGTGTATATATTGCAATAAATCTCAATGCATAGTTTGGATTTTAGAAATGTGACAGGGGACTTGTTTTAGGTAATGATGAATATGCAACAGAAATAGCAGTAACTGTGTACTACAGCAAAGAGAACAGAAATCAGTAAAATAAATGCATTTAATTAAAAACAGTATGAGGAACATTCCACTGGCGCTCATGGACAGAGACGCTGGACAGTCTGACTGTTCAGACTGTGACAAGGAGGAGTCAAATGTCAACCATGATCTCTTCAAACCACCTGAAGGTAAACTGGATAAACACATATATTTATATTAATTACAACATGTGTATTCAGTATGTATTATCTTTTTAAGTCCGATATTTCCTCCTTTAAGCCCCGTTTTCGATGTCCACTAACCTTCGTAACTCGGTTCTGTCAGGTTAGCGTCACTGGCTAACATCTAGCTGCTAATGCTAATTAGCGCTCAGTTTCAGGCAGGTTAAGATATTTTTCTGTTGCCTTTAACCGCAAACAGCTGTGTGTTGCGAATAAAAACGACACACGGGAAGCAAAACTAACTTGAAAGAACTTTCTGGAGTTTAGTTTCCTAGGTTTTTTTTTAAGTGAAATGAGCGTCTAGTGATAAGCTAATATTGGTAGGTTCCCTGAAGCTGGTGACCAGGTAACGGTTTTAACTGTTAGCATTTCGGACATTTTAGCATTTTGCTAACAGTGGTGGAGCTAAAGTTACTCAACTGCTGCGCTCAAATTTAAGTTATTTGTACTGTAGTTGAATATTCAGAGTTGAGTACTTTTTGCTACACTGTGTGACAATTCTTGTGACTACTTCAAACACAAGTAAAGTACCACATATTTGTGAATGCTACAACAAATAGCGGCCATTTTGGGAAGTTATTTTACTTCAAAGTGCACTTTGCAATTCATACTTGTGTGCTTTTACATTAATAATGTTATCTATGGAGGATTTTCTTGTAGTAGAGTATTTTTACAGTGTGGCATTTATTTTTTCCAGCCCTTGACTTCTGGCAAAAACATATTTTTTTGATGCTTCAGTTAATTCATAAGTGTGGGGATATTTTGCTTCCATAAATTGGCTTTTTTTCAGACTAATGAAAAGAAAACACCCATAATCCACATTTAGATGTTTATCAGGGTCATTACATTTCAGTTACACTTGATATCTTTTTTTTGTTTCATACTCGAGCCATAAAAGTCCACCGCAGCTGCACTTACATTCACCAGCCTGTCCAGTTTAAAGGTTTTTACACAGGAGTTTGTTGTTATATCATCCATAAGCTCATTTATATAACATGTTGTTCATGAAAGCATGGCAAGATATTGACTTTTTTTCCGGCTATGTCCTGTATTTTCTGATTAATGAAGTGATAAAAAGAGACATTTAAAATCCTCTGTGCAACACCCTGAAGCAGGGAGTTAATCAGAGATTTTGAAGCTTGCTGTATCCGATGTATAGATATCTGTTCAGGTAATTAATGCAAATTGGACCATTTATTTTTAGATCTATAATACGTTGTTTGTGTATTTAAACATGCATTTTCCGAAAACTCTTAATACAGTCAATCATTGTTTTTTTGTAAGTAATCAAATGGGGAAGTTCCATGGTCAGATCTATTAGTAAAATATATATATATATACTCTGTTCACCTGTAGCGTCTCCACTCTAACACTATTGTTTCTGATGAGGTGTAAATCCTGTCTTCTTCCCTCACACTCTGTACTCCGTCTCCCCCAGCATCCCTCTTCTTCCCTCTTCCCGGCCTTCTTGCCTCCATTTGGCCCCCTTTCTGAGGAAACTGGGGGTGTCGGCCCCATCATGACAGATGCCAGGTCACAGGAAGCAAGAGTTGCCAGGGAGAATGGGCTTTCACTGGGTGAGGAGGATGAAGCTCAGTGGCACTGCGTTTGTGGTGGAAAGAGTAAAAACACAGACACAGTGAAGTTGGCAGGTGTACAGACACTCAATCCATTTGCTTGTGTTGACAGCAGATGTGTTGAAGCAGCGGGAGATAAAAGATGAGCCACATTGGAAGACAGATATTCTCTACCAGGAAGGTGAGGCAGCTGTTTTTTCTTTCTCTTTTTTTTTCAAGAGTGTTTGATTTGATTTATCTCGTGTGTGCTTTCATCTCAAGAGCTTTTAAACTATATCTTACTAACCAAAAGGGCAGAAAGTAATGAAACACATCCAGTATTTTTTAAATTTCTGTTTGTGCACGTTTAGGTGTGATTGTGTTGTCGTCCCATGTCGGCCCAGATTGCTGTGAAGATGTCATTAGATCTTTGTCCAGAGAAATCGGACTGCAGCGCGTCCCCAATTTTTCTGTTGCCCTAAGTCCAGTTATCACATCCTGGCAAGGTAGAACAAGTCTCCCTCACATGCTCATAAGTTCCATGATGCACAAAGTCAAACCCATAAAATGGTCCTGTATCGTAAAGTTGAGGATGCAACTTTTATTCTTGTGAGGCTTATTCAAGCAATGCATGTTTTATTTTGTATGTATCTAAGATAAAAGATCCGAAATCTATTGGATAGGTTTTGTATTATCCTCTAGAAAATACTTGATTCATGTCTGTGCAGTAAATATCAGGCTACAGCCAGCAGACGGCTAACTGAGCTTAGCATGAAGACTACAAACAGCTACAGTGGTGCAACAGTAGCACTAACAAGTAGACTTTTTTGTTGGGTTTTTCATGTTTTAAATTACTCAGGTAATTTGGAATAATATGTAATATTGTAGATTGTTAATGATAATATTAAAGTTAGGTACATTTGTCCTATATGTGATTTTAAGGTTCTTAACTCTGACATTTAGGCAGATACATTTGTATTGGAGGGTCTGTACCTTAATGTCTAAACTGGTCAGGTAGGTTTGTGTACTAAATGACATTTAGGGCTCAAAACCTTAATGTTTAGGCAGGTACGATTGCATAATATATAATATAGTGGGGACTAAACCTTCACATCTAAATTAGTCAGGTAAATGTATATAACAAATAATATTTAGGATCTTAATCCTAATATTCAGGCTGGTACATTTCTATAAATAATACTATTGTAGGGTCATAATCTTAATTGTTCATTTTAAATTGTTGAAATTCCACGATGATGGTGACAGTTGTTATGCTAAGCTAAGCTAACTGGATGCAGGCTAGTGTTGGATCATCATAATGAATATGTTTCCTAAAATGGATTAAGGAGCTTTGAGTCCTAAATGTTAAAGCCTTGATTCATTGAGCTGAAAGCTAAATGTGTTAAATACAATCTCACTGCACAGTGCCAGCATCTCTAAAATGCAGTAAGTATAATATGTCAGTGAATACACTTTGTCAACTCCCATTTCTGATTAGATGCTTGGGAGAGCAGTGCCTACTTGTGGGGCGTCAGTTCAGCTATTGGACTGAACAGCAGCACCTTCCTTCAACCTCCACCCAGGCAGCGCAGTTGGTAAACCAAAGATACAAACCTCACATTTTCACTGTCAACCCATTTTTCAAAAGCATTTAGTTTCTTCTCATGTTTCTCTTTTGCACTGTGTGCTTCTGCTTTCCTCTCGCTCCCAGCTGTGCATGGGAAACTGAGCGCCCAGATAGTTGCTGCTTTGAGATCCAAACCTTCCCTCGGAGCAGCACCCTGCCTCTGGCCCATGTACAGCCGACTGACTACGGCACAGAGCCCAGCAGGAGGAGGCTGCTGACAGAGTACCAGTCCAGCTATGCTGCTGAGGTAAAGACAGGCAAGCTGAGTCTGCATGTGTGTGGGCTGATCAGTACACTCTAACCCTGTCCATTTACTTTCTCTGATCTTAAATATTTTCCTTTTATCCTGTGTATCTCCACCTAGTGGGCCCAACCTAAGCGTCGGCAAGGTGACTTTCACCATCATCTTCCTCCTTGTCACTGGAATTTCCGTCCTTCAGTCTGAATCATTTCTTTCAATACAAAGCAGATAAATCTCAAATGCTTTTTGTCTTTTTTGTCGAACATGGGCAACGAGTGAGCTTTCCAGAGCTGCGTGTTAGTATTAAATGGTTAACAAAAAAAAAAAGTGCTAAACCTTCATCTAGCCACCAGCACATTTAAGCAGAAAAATGAAAATCCTTCCAAAGTGAGATAGCGGTCAAGGCTTGTGTCTGTGATTCTCAGTTATCTTGCCTAAGGACACAGAAGCTGAGGATGAGTCATAACACGGTGGTAAACCATCTATTGGCAGGCATCCAAAGGAGACGATTAAATGTGTGTGCTCGTTGTCACACTGGTGTTGGGAAGAGGTTTAAATGCGCATGTGGCCGTGGCGGAAGAAGTGCTCTGATTTTTTTTTAGTAAAACTAAACCTACAGCAATGTAAAAATACTCTTACAAGTAAAAGTTCTGCACTCAGATAATGCAGAAGTGTTGCAGGCAGCCATAGCTAAGCTAAATCGCAAGGTTGGTAGCCCAATGCCCGACTTCTTTGCTGCAACTGGTTTGTGAGTGTGTGCATGGAAAACACTTAAAGCCATTCGTAGAACCTAATTAAGGTAAAAAGGTGCTGTATAAGAGTGGCCCATAAAATAGTACTTGTTGTGCTACATGGTGTCTGTGTTCTGCTTGCTCTTGTAACTAAATGCAGTCTCACATTCAGCATTTGTTTAATCTGCCTTCCTGAAAAAATCAAGTGTGTTCCTGTGTTCTCAGACAAATATTCATCAAACCTTTAAAAATTCTTGATTTCAACAAGGTTAAAATATGATTACTTTGTGCAGCTCCCATGAAAAGATTACAAGCGCAGCAGGCAATACAACATTCCTTTGGTTCTTCTTGTAATTATTTTCTGTTTAATCATTCAAGAAAATAAATATCTCCATTGCTGCATGAAGCCAAACATGTTCTTGGCAGAGGAGCAGAGGATCTTCTATGACGACCTCCGGAGTCACGTATCAGCCTGTGCAGGTGATGATGTTCTGCTGGTTTTGTCAGATTGTGACCTTGATGTTTTGTGGTGTGGAGTCACCAGAATTAAAATCTGTTTTCTTGTTGTTGAAGCTCCGTCATGTTAGGCACTTGTGGTGTTTTGGAATGGGATGCCTCGTGTCTTTCAGTCACTGTTAGCAGGATTTACAGTCTGAGGCGTTCGGGGAGCTTCTCCTCTTTAAAGTTTTCCTCCCCCTGCCTTTGTTTCTGAGGCTCATCCCATTTCACCCTCTCCTCAGTTGGGAAGTAGCACATTACTGACACGGTCATTTGCCCGTCTTCAGAGTAGTCAGACACCCTGAACCAGCCCTCTATCTGCTCCTCTGCTGCACTGTAGAGCGAAGACACAACCCTGTGGACAGACACATGGTCCTGCTCCAACTGGAGGATGTCATTCCTCTGGTCTGCTTTCAGAACCGCAATGTGAGCTTTGTCTGGGTGGACTGGAGACAGCAGTCTGCCAGCAGCTGGCCTGCAGGGAGCAGTGAGTATCTCAGTTTCATCACAGAATTATCACCATTATGCAAGATTATGGTTACTAAAGTTCACACAGGTTTTCTCGTGTTGTTGCTGAAGTAGCTCAATTTATCTTCTAATTAGTTATGAAAAACTGAACTAGAATATTTTTCCAGTTCTTTAATATCACTATATATTGTAGTGATGTAGCCAGCCAACCTAAAGCCTGCAGGGGTCATCATGGCCTGTGCTGGTTTTGCCAGCAGAGGACAGTGTCTCGCGTTCTCCACATCGTCGTCTTCATAAAAGAAAGACGATCTCAGGCACTCTGCCCTGACATTCGCCTTTTTGAACGCAGACGGGTCAGCTTCTGTGGTGAGGCGGCGCTGCAGTGAAGGCATGAACTTTACAAGGCTATCCAGGTTTTCAAAAGTCAGACGGCGGTTCCTCAAGTTGATGATGTACAGACTGATGCTGCATTGCCTTCCTGATAAGAAAACGAGATTCGGCCTAACTTTAGTAAAAACAAATAAGTACGACAATAGTTTAATAATATTTAAAAAGCTTTTGGAGTCAGGTTTTCAACAAGCTTAAACTGTAAAACTTGTCTGGTGCAGCTTTATTTTTTTATCTTTTTATAAATTAATTGAATTTCCCTTCTGGGATGAATAAAGTATTTTTCATTTCATTCATTTCATTTCATTTATTGGAGAAGGATTTTGTACTAATCTAAGGACACTATGGACTTATTACTAGTATATGTTGTTATAAATGGTAATTAGCAAAAGAAATTGATCATTTTGAACAAATCAAACGATGTGATTGGTGTTTAAAGGCTCTTTAGGCAATATGTGGATGTCACAGTTTGCCATTAGTTGCTTGACTGATGTTTGTTGTTCCTTCTATTTTGATTTCTTTCCACTGAGCTCCTTGTTCATACCTGCAGCAGCCTGCTCTGGTTTGAAGTCAAGCTCCATATTTATGAAATACTTCTCCCCTCTTAGTGTTTCCATTTCTGCAGATGTAGGTCGACGTTTGCTTAAACCATCACTTGGACAAGAAGTCTCACCGTACGTTGTCATGGCGTTGCACATGTTGACAAAACACCTACATATGAAAATCTACATTTCCATGACGACCATCTGCTGAGGAAGGTCTCGCGATATGATCAAAAGTTCCAGCGGTTCAAGATCTTTTGTCGAAATTGCTTTGTCAGCTGCTGTTTCCAGTCAAGCGTTCAACATGACAAGAAGTTACCATGATGGCGCCCCTAGCTGGAGGAGTTCATGAGAGTTAGTGCAGAAGAATGTCACCAAGCTCGTTTACATATACTCATGAGTCTTGGGGGAATTTGCTTGTGTAGTCCTGAAAGAGTGAAATTCATTTCATGGTGAGGGAGTGAGGAGTGGTCAACAGCTTTGGCATGAAAGAGACTGATGTGTTGACATCAATGTTAAATGAGCTAAATGTTAGAAATTGGCCACTTCTATTAAAATAATGTAATTACATGCTTGCTGTATTTCATAGCACCGTGTGTGCGTTTTCTATACTAGTATTTAAAATAACGTAATTTTACAGAGGCTGTTTTTGTTTTAAATAACAAAAATGTACCGACCATCGTTAATACTGAATTTACAAACAGAATGGGGGAGAAAAAACACTGAGAATTCATTTGTCTTTAACATCTTTATTCATCTTTTTTCATTATTTTTATTTGTAATGAAATTCATAATCTGTGTCTTCTGAACCTTTTTTTTTTTTTTTTTTTAAACGGCTTCTGTCATCTAACTCAAACAAAATCACCAAAAATGATTTCATGTTGTACAATCCACCTGGCGGACATTCCTATTGGCTTCACCAGGGTGCCATTCGACAGCTGTGGTCCGACGCTGTGTGTGAGGAAGTTCCCCTTTAAACCAAAAGACTTTACTGCTTCTGCCGCGCTATTTAAGAACACACCGAAAACGGGGAAAGCAGCAGAAAGGGTGGACAGAAGTGCTAACCTGTCAGATACTTAGAAGTTCCTTGTACAGTGCACAAGTGTCTGTTTAACACCGAGATTAAAATACACACGATATTACCACTGCTAATACCACAGATGAACAGTGGCATGAAGACTGATGTTCAGATCACAAGACTTTTCCTCATGACAATACTGCATCTATGTTTTTCAGGCTAACCTGGCTGAGATCTAGAAAAACTGACTTAATTCACCATTACCGCCGATTAGAATCTGGGTTTCCTGCAAAAGCATCTTCACATATACTTTTTGTTTTTTTTAATTGGTTCACAATTTTACTGATATTATACTCTCACTACTGAGGGATGCTTTAGGGAAACCCAGATTACAACAAAGACTTGCTGTTTAAAAGTAGAACTTCCTCCAAAAAAACAAAAAAAGTCAGTCTGCATCTTCGGTTAGGACAAGAAGAACAGCAAGGAGGCAATACCGTCCGCCATACGTACCACACTGCTTTATTCTGACAGGCCATGGCGATAACGTCTCCTCTCCCTACTGTTTCCTACAAACAGGACTGAATGGACACCACAGGCTACTATACCCAGTAGAGACACAAAACGCCTCATCCTCAAAAATGTGAAGAAAAAAAAAAGAGAAAAAAAAAAAGAGGAGGAGAGGCTGTTTGAGAACCTGATTTGGATGTGGACACTTGATCTGATGCTGGACAAACCAAGCTGTTCCGGCAGAAAGAGGCAGTGGCTGCGTTCCAGACCAAATACTCCCCCCTGTAACAAGGTAGATCCAAACTGATCCAAAGAATGAAGCTGTGAGCGCAAAACACAAGATCTTTTTTATGATTTAAAAAAAAAAAAAAAAGCTCTGACCTTTCTTCTACTTATACTTTTCATATTAAACTCAACTTGAGGCATGATTGGGACATTCACCACCTCTGCTCTTGCACAAAAGATAAACATGGACATGGTTTGGGTAAATAATATTTTGTTATCTGTGATTCCACTTGTCCACGTCGGTCCTGACCACCTAAAAGCGATGGTGCAGGGAGGGTGGGGTCTGTACTTGGTTTGGAACGGAGCCACTGCAGATACAAACAACAACCCGCATCTGTGGATGCACAAGAGCTGTGATGTCACAGGGACCTTACGACATCATAGGAGCCGACGTTAACGGGTTTCACTGATGACTTTACAGAGCAGCGGCAGAAACCCATCAAGTTCCCTGAAATGTTAGTCCTTCTCTAACCTCACTGGTATGGAAACCTACTGACAAAATTTAGTTCTCCAATTAAAATTGAAAGCGCACAAAATAACGCGAAAAAATTCTAATTTAGAAAGTTGTTGGATTAAAGTTTTTTTTCCTGGCATCACTCCTGGGTAGCTGCCTCAGTTCCGAGGGAACTTCAGTGAGATCTGCTTACTCTGTAAACACCAACAGTGTCATCTGAAATGCAATGATGAGCTAGCGCCCGCAGCGGGGCGGTGCTGGTACTACACCCCTCCCCCACCCCTGTTCCCAATGTCCCTCAGTTTGCAAGAAACAAACAGGAAATAAAAAGATTAAAGAAACAAAAAAGAGAGAGAGAAAGAAAAAGAAATCCCCCCACCCCCCAACTGGGCCTGCCAGCACGCCATTGACTTTAAGTGTGTCGCTGTGTGTGTGCATGCGTGCGTGTGAGAATCAGTGTGTGTGCGGTCGCGGCCGCCAGAGTCTCTGAGATTATGTGAGGACTGGTGTGTGTGTGCGCATGGAGGCTCCATGGGGGTGAGGGGGACTCCTAATATTTCTTCCCCGGGACGAACTCCTTCGCTTCGGGATTCAAGATGCTCTTCCTCTGCAGAAATACACATGAAAAACAGAATTAAACCATTGTCCTGATTGTTCATTATCAGCTTGAAAGGGAGCTTGGAGAAAAAAAATTGTGATATTAGATGTATCTGACTCACCGCCACTTCCTCCAGGTTGCTGTGGTGATCGCTGACGGAGAGGCCGTTGAGCTGCTGCTGCAGCTGCCCCACCCCCTGGTTGTTGAGGTCACGCGAAGGTATGAACCAATCCTGGTCCTCCTCCTCCAGCATTTCCTGGAAGCAACGCTCCAAGAACTCCTGCTCCAACAGCTCCTCCTCGACCTGGGAGTTAATGAGGGACGAACAAAACACAAGTAAGACAAAAAAGCAGCAACAGAAGGTCGTAAATTTGAAGGTTGAGTAAACAAATTCCAATTTAACCAAGTACCCAGCCAACAGCTAGGTCTCAAGTTTGTTGAAAGTTGTTCCCCACATCTCTTTCCACTTATTTCTAGATTTTATTTTTTACTTATCCTTGAAATTGTGAGCAAAATATGTACTGAGTGGTAGATTTTGCCACTGAAAAATAAACACGTCAGTGCTTTCTCATATAATGTAGACAGGTTCTGTGCTGTACATACTTGAGTTGTCAACACAGGGAGACTATTTGTTAAGTTGAGCCAAGTTAAACTTTTCTGGACAACTCTTTAAAAAATTGAAAGTCCCCTCTGGATCAATGGAGCGTTCTTATGGAAATAAACAAGGACATTACGTTCTCATGTGGTGCAGATGTCTGCACACAACCTAGTCCAAGTTCTGATGTTGGGACAGGGCCCACAAAACCAGAACTTGGACTTCCCCAGATGAATTTTTCAAGATAGTATTGAGTTTGAAGAAGAGGAGTGGGGCCCGAGAGAATGTATATGCATGTGAGGAGTATGGGAGGAAAAACGGATCCAAAAGTAGAACGAGTCTGAATGATAAACACGTGAAGTCTCGGGTTCTTGGTCTAAATTCAGACGGACGGTAAAAATTTCAAGTTGGCTTTATGTCTCATATTGCATTACAGCATGTGCACTTACCTGTCTGTTATACTCTTCCTCATTCTCCATCCACATGTACTCAGCAAACGGGTTGTCGCTGCCCTCTCCTGCGTGCCCATTGGCCACCGGCTCCTTTCCTTCCTTTCCTGGAGCTCCGCCTCCCGGTGTCTTGGCCACCTCGGGACCGCTCATCTCAGCCGGCTCTGCGTGAGAACACAATCACACAATCGTTACTCTTGGTGAAGCCATAAACACTGGAACTTTACACTTCAGTGTGGTGAAGTACACTGAAAATAGTTTTCAAATCAGACACAAATGAATCCTAAAAAACTTAATTGTACACCATGTGAACTTTATTTTCTTCACCTTTTGGAACCAGATAACGACTGGCTCATCTCCCGTTCATTATCCCACAGCTGGGTCTCATTGGCTATTAAATTAACATTATCTCGTTTAAATCAAGGCTTTAACATTTCAGCCTGGGATCCAAATTGGACAAATTAGCAGCATATCAATTACAATTTAACCACAGCTGGAAAAGTGCTCCCACGGGTAGGAAAGTCTTCAGTGCTCGTAAATAATAAAACCGCCAAACAACAATTTTCCATATCTCATGATGTGAATACGAAACAGAGTGAAAACTAACACCAGCTGGAACCGATCCTGCTCTGTGCACACACACGAGTCGCAACTGCTCTGCGATAGCTAAAAATATTCTCCCTGCAAACACCTAAATTAGTCTGAAGGCTTAATAGAGTTGTTGGCATTTTATGGCTATAATCAATAGTTTTTCCAGGTTGGTGAATTGCAGCGCCGCAGTAAAAGGCCACATTGTTTTATAATTAACCAGAGAAACACACACAGACCCAGAGAGCCATCATAAAGACAGAGAGCACCATTAACAGGCAGAGAAACACAGCGAGTGTTAAATCAGTTGGTTTATGCTAATAAAAAGAGGAAATACATCACATTGTCAACCTAAACCTCATTTACCAAGTTTAACCGGAGCAAAACAACCGAGCCACATGAGATTTAAGTCTCAATGGTGGTGGGAAAAGTTAGGGGTAAAAATGGCGAAGAAAATTTGAGAAAACCACACATTAAAGTAGCATAAGAAGAAAAAGATCAAACTTGGAGGCTGTTTAACTCTCCAAGAAGAGACTTAGTATTTTTATTTGAAGAAAAACAAACCTTCAGATAGACGGCAACGCACTAGGCTGTGTGCCAAAGGTGATTCATGTATGCTGAAGCACGTCTTCACACAACGGTGACGTGACTTTAAATCGGCCTTTCAGCCAGTCGCACTGCTTATGAACAGCTGTGCCAAAGATGCACCATCAAAGCAGCAACAAATTAAAAGGAGAAGTTCAGGCTGAGTTCTCCTCGCAAGAAAATAATTTCTTATCAGATTGGTCCAGTGCGATAATTACAGACCTGCAGCTAAAATGCTAATGCAGCTTTTAAAATTAATTTTGCATTTACAGGACATTTACATTCTGAAGCACATGACCTTAAGGTATATTTCTTTTAAATGATTACATTTATTTTGACTAAATCTACATGCAAGTAATGCAACTGCTGCCGGAACACGAGTGCAACAATAACTCTTGATCAGATCCTCTGATAAAATGGGGCCAATCAACAGTCATAATTTTGCATTGTTAAATCACAAGACACTTTTCTGCATTAAAAACAAACCACACAATTTGGAAAGAAGGCAATTTAAAGTAACTGTAACATGGCCACCAGACATTCATAAAAGACAGGACTTTTCATTTTGAACTGTTTGCACTGTGCATTTTTGGATGTCACACTAAATGAGCAGGATATAACCGACTTGATTTGATATGAGGAGAAGCGCAAACGTTTGTGCAGTTATTTCTCAGCAGTCTGCGGATGGCTGCACATGATTCAATCAAGGCAAACACAGTGAGTCACCGTATGTTATGGTGCTGCATGTTGCAATGTAGAAGCTGCAAGCATTATACATCTGTCTGACTGCTTTCACATGGCTTTAACAGTCGTCAAAAGGAAGACAAAGGGTTTCATTCATTAAGACAGTTCATCTTGGGTTCACTACAGACTCATTACTGACATTCCTGCTACAGGAGGATTAAACTTGTATTTTTACTGTTGATCTTTATGTACCAGTTTGTGAGTCATTCGTTATTTAGTGCTGTTCTGCACTAAATCTAGTCTTTGATCATCAAGTCCAAAGAGTCAGCTTCATCTTTATGTAGGTTACTTTTATCTTGTTGCGCATATCCTTCCACCTTTGCCCTGTGCACGTAGCATTAGATGGAAAAGTACCAAGGTCAGGAAAACAGACATAATACATATCTGTATGCTGTCAATGTTTTCACACTCTCCAAGTTCAAGCAGCTGTAGCCCAGAAAAGAAAAAAAAATCTAATTCTCAGCTGACTGAGAAAATCTGTGTAGAGGAAGTGGAAAAACTAAACAAAACTCTCCAACAAGTACAAAGCAGGTTTCCTTGATCCAAATACTTCCTCCTCTATCCTTCAGTGGGACCGTCCCTGGTTAAACATGACATTTCCACATAATAAATGTAAGATGTGGTGGTAAAGCTTGGACAAGATCACACTGCTGTAAATCCACACCTGCCCTGAGAATACTGTGCTGCTATCACTTGGCCTTTCTTTTCTCCGCACTGCTCGTGTACAGATTATAGCTGGATTTGATCAAAACCAAAAGGAATTGCCATCACAATGCAACATGTCAGCCTATCCGATGTGCAAGATGCAGTGAAACAGTTATTTTTTTTGTATCCAGACCTGCAACCTCACTTTTACTATTTAATGGGTGTAGCTGAACAATAGGACAGTTCGCCTACTACAGCAACAGTATTGTTATAGAGTGCAACAATACTGCTAATACTTAGAGAAAGCCCTCCAAGACAAACAGCCCTGTTACTGTTCATCGAGCTAAATATTGTACGGTCACAAGTTTTGGAAAGTCAAGAGAAGGTTTTACTGCACTTCCTGAAAACCAATTTTGACAAAGCTTAAGGCAACAACAGTTAATACTATTGCAATCACCAGATCACAAGTATCCTACTAATAATTACAAAAATATCATGACTGGACATGATCTGTGGAGTATCCTTGCTGCTGCAACACAGACACGCCGTTACGACTGTGACGAGACATGCCCACTATAATGACATAATCCTCAGACTGCCAGCCAGCTACAACAGACTTGTCATGACTCAACTGCGGCCTCACAGTGGGGCGAGAGGGAGGAGAGAAAAAAAAATTTAAGCGATGATCTCAATCGAGCAGTGCACACAGCTCTGGGGTCAGCCTGATGCAGACACATACACCGTTGTTGCAATGTTTGACTTTCAAGGACTGACCGGCATGCCCAAACTCCCAGAAACTTCACCCATATAATGACCCCATTCCAAATTCAGGACATAATGTTTCTCTGACGCCTGTTCCTGCTGTTTCGGTCTCAGTCAACGTAACAAAATCAGGCAGGCTGCCGTTAACTGTATGCAAAGGCAGGACGGGCACACTGTCCCACAGAGGGGTTCAAATAAACATGTATAATCTAAGTAGGTTAGTAGACTAAGAAGAGGTATAGCTGTTTCTATCTGCCAGCACTGATAAAGAAGTCTATTTATGCGGTGCCGTGATTTACACAAGATGTGGGCTATAAAAAGGCCAAAAAAAAACAAGCGGGGCAGGCCAGAATGAAAGGGAAAGAACAATTTGCAAGAGAATACAGCCGACCTCAGGTACCGGCATGTTTGAAGTGTTTGAAGCTTGTGCCCATGCTGCAGTCCATAAAGTGCTATGGAACAAAACAAACTTAACATCAATTGCTAAAGCTTGCTGCTTAGCATGTCAGGCATAAGAGACAGAAAAAAGCAAAGCAGACAACAAGAAAGTTCCCACAAAACATTCAATAGATATTAAACAGAGGTCAAATGATTGTTTTTTCATCTATTAAGCACAAATTCTAAACAAATTTCTGGTTCCAGCCTCCTAGACGTTAGGACTTTTTCCTTATTTTAAATGTTTATAAAAAGGAATATTTGATAGACTAAATGACAAACTCAGTAATTCAATACTTAACTAAAAGTAGAATCATTGCAATCAAAGGGAAATATATTTGTTATCTGCCTTCCTATTAGATATTTTCTCTGTTTTCATAGTGTGGGAATGATCACGTAAATCCCAGCCCTACAGTCTATTTCCAACAGCTGTTAAGAGTCACTGAAAACAGGCCTCTGCTGCGGCAACACAGAAGTGCACAGCAGGTCAACTAGAATAAATATAAAGCGAAGACGGTGAGCACTGTGCCATGATGTACTGCATCGTAGCATGCATGCATGCATACGTGTTCATGTTGCGTAACCACGTGTTAGTCAACACGTAATATTCAGTTAGCAAACCCTAAATCGGTGCATTCTCCGTGTAGGTCAGCAGGAAGCAATTTGATCCAATTTGATAAAAGATTAATCGAGAGGTTAAATTTCAGCAATTTCCCTGAGGTGTCCACCAAAGGGATCAATAAAGTTCTATTCTATTCTAAATGCTATTCTTCAGTAGGGTAACATGAGAAATATCAAAACGCTCAGAAAATTTACAATTTAACGATGTCAGAGCTACAGTTCTGAATCAGATTACCTTCTGTTGTGATATGACACACTTTAAGCTCCACTTTAGCTGTAGCAGATGGAAATATTTTCAGACTGGATGATCCACATGACTAACGTTCTGACTTTATGCTCCATTTCTACGCTAAAAAGCAAGTCCACCTCTTCCATAATGCGGTCAGTTTTGCTGCCTTGATTGATATGAATTAAACACATTTTTTAAAATCTTATTTTCCACACATGCAACTCTTCAAGTCTTAGCTATTTGTTGTGGTAAAGTGGAAAAAATATATTTGGTGACACATGGCAGCACTTGTGTTTTATATAAGAAACACGACACCTGATTGAGTTATTTTTTGTTTGTTTGTTTGTTTTTTAAGCCACCTATTTTCTGAAGAGCTACAGACTAAATTCCAAACTCAAAAACAACAATTTGGATACATGATTAATCATGTAGGTAATGTATAAGGGTCGTTTTCTAATAGTTTCCCACGTTTTACTAATTAAATTAATGAATAATCTTTAAAACAATTCAATTAAATAATAGATTAGTTATCCCAGCTGTAAACTGCTTTGTAACCAGCTGAAATTAATTGGATAACAACAGAACGAGCTTAAGCACTAAATACCATCGAAAATAAACCTGTTTGAATAGGTCACATGTTTATCTAAACTTAATTGTATTGTTAACACAGGAAAACTTCAGCTCTGTCTCCTGTTGGGTCTTTTTTTTATAATATCATTCCTCAATTTGTTGACGAAACCAGTGTACATGCAGCTGAAAAAATACAACTTAAATCTTTAACACGGACCTGCGGAAAGAAAAACACGGAGGAGCGCAAATGGGTTTATTTAAGTCCAGCTATAGACATTAAAAAATAAAAAGAAAGTAATTTAAAATGCGTAGAATAAAGCGCTTCCCAGCTGATTATGTAATGTAACAGTTAGTGTACTGTATGTAACGGGAGCTGTGTCGTCGTGGCTCACAGCCTGCTAACGCTATCGGAGCTAACTGGCTAAACCAGGTGTCGGGCCTACCTGGGAAGTTGGTAAAAGGATTGGACGGTTTTAGCCGAGGTTATGCTAAGTGGCTAGTTTACAGTGGCCTCACACAGATAAACACACATAGCTGTCCGGTCAATGAACGGGCCTAAGGTAAAAGCTATCCAAGCAACAACAAAGGGTACAGGGCTGGGTGGAAGGGAGCTGCTAATTCTTATCAAAGCCGTGAAGCGCGTTAGCATAAAACAGCTCAAATGCAAATACTGCATCCAATAAAAACGACACAAAGCGCTATTACAATACGTAAATCACGCATCGAGGACAAACCTCGCTCTCGTTTGACTGTTTGAGGCCAAACAAAGTCCGCTATCAGCTAGCACGCTGCTACAGCATGGCAGCATCCCTGAAGCAGGTCAACAAAACAAGCCTCCGCTGCGGGATTACAACAGCTCCGCACACACACGACGACCCGCTCGCATTTAAGGTTTTACAACGTCAAGTTACCTGGCATTGTGCTCTCGGTGTTTGCCTCAACGTGTAGCGTTACACAAAGTTACTGCAACTACACTGCGAAGAGTGCGTGCTCGTCGTTTCTCCGGTGGGGATTTGTCAGTGCTGCGATGCAACGTAGCTCAAGTTAGCTAAATCCTGTTAGCCACCGCGCTAGCGTTAGAAAGCTGGGTCGGTCATGTGGTCTGCTGAGGCGTTCACGGTCTGTCCCAGCAGTGTGGGAATTAGATAACAGCTTCACATGAGCATAGTGCAAGCGCACAAATCAATCTTAACAGCAACACCAATTGTCCTCTTTTTGTCTATGAAAGTTGGTCTTTTTACTAAAAGTTTAGAAATTATCTCGCTCATTCGTCTGCAGAACATGTCCTGCATTATTCTTCACTTTGTCTGGGAAAACACTGCAACTTCAGAATGAAATAAAATTAGATCAGGGCCTATGAATAATTCAATATTGTCATTAACTGTAAGTGGAATCACAATGTTATGGTAAAATCTTAATGTTGTGTTCTACAAATTTTACAAATTGAATTGTAGTTAAAAATTAAATAAAGTTGTTAATGCAGCTTGTCTTTTAGAGACACAGTATGATGAGTTTGGCCTCATGCAATGCGGAAGAGTGGAATACAGTGTTTTTCCCAATATTACCTATTGATACCATAATACTAGTCTGATCCTGTGGAGTGGGCTGCAGGTGTAAGCCTGGTCATGCATTTTAAATGTCTTTCTCTTCGGCTGTGCTTTGTCTTTGTCGTATTACTTGAAGTCCGTACCAGCAGCCCTGACGAAGTATGTACTTTTTCATGTAGTATACATACAATTGTGACATACTACTTCGTCATAATATTGCACCTTAAGCTTTGACCATCACGGTCTGCGGCGTGGAATGAGCTGTCATCTGTCTGTGTTTTCTCGGCGGCTCTGGTTTGCTTCTAATCGTGCAAGACGTCATGCGCAGAGAATTGTGGGTCAAAATGTACAAGTGTGCTGGTTTGCATACTGTAAACCCCACCAAGATGTAGTGGGACATCTGTGTGATTTTGGTGTACTACACTTGACGTACTATGTATTGGGAAATAGTGAATATTTTTCTTGTGTACTATATAGTATGGCAGTATGGATATTGGAACGCACCCCTAAATCCTTGTTGGTATACAAATCAACCAGAATTTCATTCCTTCATATGGGATCCTCCAGAATCTCTGATATGTTTGCAAAACTCCTGCTTCTGTTTTTTTTCCAGTCTTGAATTTGCCTCGAGTACCTTGAAAATTTTTAACTTCAGTGGTTGATTACAGAGAAGCTTGACTGTATGCCAGAAAGTTGGAAAAATACATTAGCTAACAGGCTGTTTAGCTGCTTGACTGTGTTGACAGTAAAATCGTGTAAATGTGTAATTACAAAAGATACTCATTTAGATATTTTAACCCATGCTTGCTGTGTAACATGCAGAGAACACATGTACTGTAGTGGTTCATACGTAATAAAGAAATTCACAAAACTGGTTGCTCGTAGCAGGATGACCTCCTCCGTAAACCGTACAATATGCGAATGTATGCAAACCTATGTAAAAACGGGATGTTACTGAAATGCAAACGAGCCAGAATTGTTCCTTCCCAATCGCACAATGATAGATAGAGGCGAGTGAGACTACCATAACACTGACTTCAGTCATATCAACCAGCCCTGGTTCATTGTTTCAGTTTTTGCAGGCATGCAACAATATTCAGTGCTTGTTGATTTCTGTTTGGAAACACTGACAAACGTAGTTGGGCAGGTGTGCAGTCAGTGTTTGGAGCAAATGATAAACAAAGCACCCTCAGAAAGAACTCACATTTGTTTATTGTGCGAAAAAAATATTTGGGATGCACAGGAACAGACGTAGCCCACCTTTGCAAACAACAACATTTGGTTATATCCTGCCACACTAACTCTATTTACAACCCTCCTTTAACTCCCATCACCCCTCCCTCCCTTGCGAAGGTTAATAGCGTGCGATTAAATGATAAATCATAAGACTGAACAAGATACAGCCTTGACGCACTCTGAGTAGAAACACTGTAAATCATTGACCGTCTTTCCTTTGCTGTACATTGTCATGAACAGTCAAGCGTTATTTTCTGTTAAGAAGAACTGAGAAAATGTGGATCGTGACATATTTTTATATTTAGTCTGCGACAGATAACATGACACAGATAAACACCGTCGGCCATGGTGTGTCGCAGTCTTACGTATGGTTCTTTCCTCCCTGGTTGGAAGTTATTGTACGTTGTTAGTAAGTCTAATTAAGTGACTGACAGCAGCTGACACGATGGTTGCCTAGCAGCAAACGAAGGCTGATCTTCGTGCTTCTGCCTGTCACACTAATAACCCCCGCACTTATCTGCAGTTTTACCTTTAAGAAATTACTGCCATGACCACATAAAAGCCAGAGGTTTAGTCAGAAATGTAAATGTAAGTCATGAGTTAAAATGTGAAAGTAACTACATAGCAAACATGTTTACAGGGTTGCAGTTGCCTCAACACAAATTATATCTTATTTAGCATAAAATATTGGAAAACATAACCCTCCTTGCACTGAAAACTTCTTAAATGAAATAGTCTGACAAGGGAACATCATTCTGTGGTTACTCTTAAACCCTGCTGACACGTGCAGCTCTGACCTAGTGACATTTTCATATAATTTCCACACCAGCACAAGAATGAATATTGCAGATATATATTTAATGAGCAATGTGGTCCTGAAGATACAAAAAGGAACTGCCCCGGTACTCCCTGCCACTGTTCAAGTTAACATTATAGAATGGTTGTCTAGTAGTGAACTTATTTGTAAATATTGTTTTCAAGCTGTCCACAGTAATTTGACAGCTGTTGGCTCAGTCTTTTGTTTATTAGCAGCTCCTACAGATTGTATATTTCTGGGAGGTCTTTGAACCTTGCTGTCCAATCCTGCATGTATGGCAAATGTCACGTGTGTGCAGAAACACTCTCCACCACTATCTGATGGAACGCCTTGAGGACTATTAAGATAGTGATTTATGTTTACGTGACACAATACCGTCACGTGAACGGACAAATGAAGCCAGCAATGTAGGAAAAGGGATAAAGACATGTGCAACCCAAACGCCAAAGGGCTGCAAGCAGAAGTAGGTTTGTTGTAAAGGTTCTCAAGACAAAGAAGCGGGGATCCAGTAGACTGAAGGTATTCTATCAAATTGGTTAATTGCTTCAGTAACATTGATTTCCAAAACTCGGGGCTCACAGCGGGTACGTGAACGCAGCATGTGAACAAACATCCCTCGAGCTCCGCCACAGAAACACCACCGCTTCACTCTTTACTCTCCCACAACACAAATGCCTGCGTGGCTTTGGAAATTAAAGAATTTCCCCCAGTTTCTTGCAAATAATCCAATAAGTCACTCTTAAGCTGACTTTTAAGCGCACTAGATAATTATAATAATGGAAACTAGGCTTTAAAATAAGGTCTGTTCACATGTGTGCGCACAGAATAGATATCAATCTAACATGAGAAGAGTGCACGTTTTGAAGAACTTAACAGCGCTCCAGTGTTTATAAAACTATTTATAATGTAAAAGAAGACCTGTAACTTAAGTTGTAGCACATTATCAGAATTTCTATAATAGTTTTTCCTCCTTTCCAGACCCGCATTTCAGAACACAAGAGTACGTAGTGTTAACTAACTGGGAAATTGACGCAAGTTCATATAAATAAATGCGACGTAACATACTGAAAACAGCCATAAGTTAACTGCATTTCTGTCAATATTGCTGACGTTTGGGCTTTCTCGCGGCTCTTTCTTTAGGTATTTCTTGCTTTTTTTGTGTGTAGCAAACAGCTAGCTTCCCCCTTTGCTGCACCAATAACAACAGACTCACCGCTCAACTTCAAGTGCGAACAGGGGGAATCCGTAAACCAGCTGTCGAAGGGGGAAAACGGCTCTTTTCCGGTCCCGTATGTCACAAGAAAACCTCACAGGAAACAAATTCTTCTAACAATCTCCAACACGCCAGATGAACAGCTGTCTATTCGGTCAGTTTGCTCGCGTTATTTGGCTAAAAAAAAAAAAAAACGGTGGGGAAATATGCTGTTTTCTTCTGCCTTAACGTTGGGAGAGAAAAACGGTGTCGTGGTCGCGCTTGTCCAGCTGTACACTTCAGTCATTGGTCGACGTCCGCGTCAGTCAGCGGCTCCTGGCGACGCTATTGGTTAAAACGAGCACACGCCCCGCCCCGCCTGTCCATTCACGTAAGTAAACAAAATATAACCCATTTTTTTCGCTGCCCCGTTTTTTTGTAATCAATATGGCTAGTTAATATTTGACAGTCGGGCTGCTTAACTAGGTCTTACCGTTTTTACCAGAGAGAAGCTCCAGTTTTGTGTTTGTTAAAGGTGGAAGGAGAAAGCCGGAGAAAAAGAGTGAAAAGTGAGCGGTGGCGTGCACATGGTGTTCATCGGTCAGGAGAGTGGCCAGTTTGAGCCTCATTCATTACCTTTGAATTGTCACATGTTGCAGGGTGGAGATTAATTGAAGTGTTTAAATGACTTAAGAATAATTAAATACATTTAGTTTGACACAAGAAAAGTATGGACTCATTATTTTGTGTTCTTGATCACGAGTTAGAGGAAGCTTTTCCTGTGAAAAGCAAACCTGAAGTTATGCACACTGCAGAAAGCATTGTTCACTCACAGGTTAATGATAGTAAATAGCTAAATTAGGAACATCTAGGAATTCCTGGTATGTGCTGGAATTCTACAATGGAAAATAACATCATAGAAAAGTGAGATTGTCACGCAAATATGTGGCATGTATATTATTCTTGGGGTTCATGTTGGGTGACTTACAAAATAAGAGTTGCAAATAGGAGGGGAAAATGGTTTTAATTGTGCAGCTGATAATATTTTTTACAAAGAGAGACAATTTTCTTGTCACTGAGTAAAATATGTCAGAAAAAGAAGTTTAGTTCATGGCTAGATTGTGTAGGTAATACACGACAGGCACAAACTGAAGCTAAAATTTAAAAGTAAAAAGAAAAAAAAAGGAACAACATGATTTTGTTGGTGCACAAAAAAGCCCAACTGACTGCTTAAATTTTAAGATTTCTAAGGATCACTTTCCCATATGTGATGTCGTGTAATCATGTAAACGTAGCTGGTTGATATCTGATGCGTCGTTGTTGTGAATTGCAGTTTTTTTTGTGCTCAGATGATAGATGTTTATTTGTCCCTGTGGGGAAATTGGTTTGCAGCAGAAAACACTCAAAGGGCATTTCACACTTAGGTAGCCCACAAACACAAACACTTCAAAACAATATCTCCACATTTCACACATTATGGCCAGACCAGCTAGATCTTATTTCCTGTCCATATTTACAAATTTGATGGCTTGTGGAATGACACAGATAATTATTGATACTTTAAATTTGAACATATTGTCAGTCTTTGTAGCAGCCAAAGGTAGACAGGCTTGCTTTGCATCATTTTCAGGACAAACATCAGATCATTCCACAGCAAGATGATGTGAACATTAGTGAAATAGACAAGAACAAGATACTACCACTCCTGATCTGGGGTTTGAGTTGAGAACATAAAATCAGCGTTCAAGGATGCCAGATGTTCCCTGGAGTGTCAGCTTAAACGCATGTTAGTCATAGCATTTTGCTCTTTTGACTAAATACAGTATGACACCAAAATTAGTTGCACTCTACATTTCCTCTGAAACTTTTAACTTTGCCACTAATCACAGATGATGAAAGCGTTGAAAACCATGAGTAGTCACTCTGGTAGATTAGTCGTAGCAGCTGGACTTGCTTGAGTTCCTTGAAGACGTTTCACCTCTCATCCAAGAGGCTTCATCAGCTCTGACTGACTAGTTGGGAATTCCACATACTTATATCCTGAAGGAGCCATTAACACCTGAGTTTCAGTTTCAATTGGGGGTTTGCTGCTCCTCCCCCTCGTTATGTGGGTCGTTAGTGCTCCTCCTGCCACAAAGGGGTTCATTAGGGTCTTTTGTGGCTAGGTGTGAATGTGGTTTCATCTTCCTGGGGAGAGATCTTTGGACTGAATTGTGAACAGTTTGACAGATGGCTTCTTTCACCCCTCTCTCATACCATCTGTCCTCCCTGGCCAAAATCTGTACATTGTTGTCTTCAAATAAATGTCCTTTGTCCTTAAGATGCAGGTGGACTGCTGAGTCCTGTCCTGAGGGGCTGGCTCTTCTGTGCTGAGCCATGCGCTTGTGAAGCGGTTGTTTTATCTCCCCGACGTACAAGTCTTGGCATTCCTCGCTGCACTGGACTGTGCACACCACGTTGCTTTGTTTAAGCAAGTCCAGTTGCTACGATTAAGCTACCAGAAAAACCATGACCTGGATGACTGAGAATCTTCACAGACATGAGTAGTCACCTTCAACGCTGAGGATGGATGTTCTGATTGCACTGACCGCACAAAAGTTAGATCACATGCAGCAATATCTTGTTTTTGTCCCCTTCACTCATTCTGACTTCATCCTGCTGTAGAATGGTCTGTTTTATCCAGACAATGATACAATGCAGGACTAAATATATTTGTCCATTGCCTGACATGACAACATGTTCACAATTTCAATAATTATTCACTACAATGATGCTGGCTTTTGTGCTGTTGGTGCGATCAGAGCAGCCGTCCTCGGTGTCATAGGCAACCTTTCTTGCTTTTCAAGGCTTTCATCGCCTGTCATCAGTGGCAGCTCTAAAAGTTTTCAGGGAAATGTAGAGTGCGACTAATTTTAGTGTCATATTGTGTTCAGTCAAGACAACAAATTACTAACTGCGAGTGTTGGTTATTAAAATTTAGATTTTTTTTGTGTCAGTCTACCTAAAAACAGAGCAGCAACATTATTTATTTATGCAATATTAGCCTAGTGCATACACAGATGCTTTAATGTAAACACTGTGCTACCTTACAATATTGTTTTCCAATGTTTTTAAAAGCTGATTTCTCTGTACATAGTTATAGTTCTGCTGCTGTGGTTTGCAGAGATTTTTTTTTCTCAGTGAACTGACCGTGCAACTGATGGGAAAGTGATAAGACGAGGTTTACCACAGTTTTACCATGTGCAGAAAGGGCGGCTGTCTTATCCGTTCTGGTTATTCAGAGCAGCCGCCACATTTGCATCAGAGGCTTTTATAGCCTCAGTGGCTAGTTTGACTATTTTTGGTCAAAGTCCACAACTCACCTGCTTCCCTCATGCAGGTTTGGAGGCCGACAATGTTTTTGGCAGCTGCTCAGAATCAGAAGCACTGTTTGGCATAAACAACATGATGAAAGTCATGTGTATGTTTTCATAAATGCTGCATCAGATATGATGGCTCTTTAATCGTACTATTTTGTCGCCTGTGCTTGAAACTGTAGTAAAGTTTAAGTAAATTAAGAGTATGGCTCTAGATTTAGTTCTCCACTTGTGCCCAGAAACTACTTTTGATTTTAAGCATCTTTTCAACATTTCTTTGGGTTTTTGGCATTTCAACTCGTTCTTGAAGCTGAATAGCAGCATCTTCTAAAATATTCTCGCCCAGCCTCTGTCCTGATTGTCTGAATGTATTCAAACAGATAGTCTTAGCTTTCACCTGCATTCGGCTATGAGAGGGTGCATTACTCTGAAATCACAGTGGAGGGCGACTGTAGCATGCTGTGTAGTTGTTGGTCAGTGTGGTGTCCACTGGCAGAAACATTTTAAAGCTGTAAATATGGATCTGTGTTGAGTAGAACTAAAGAAATATAGATCACCTCCACCCCCTGTGACAACTGAGGTGCAGATTATTTTAAGATTACTGACAACATAAGCAATGGTCTAAAGAAATAAACGGTCATTTATGTCTTTTGATGACAGTTTGTGAACAATACTTGACCACCAAGTTAATGTATATATAAGCCTAATTCTCTGTTCATGCAGGGCAGGTAAATCAATCACATTTCAGTGGCCGCTGTACCCTCCACCACTGCTCTGTCTATATATAGTTAACAGTCAGAGAACTTGCACTTCACCATAAATCTTCACTGTAGCAGATTTCCAGCTCTCTACAATATTGCTGCATTGTCTCAGCTGGACGCAAGATGCATGGATGTGTTGAGAAGGATACGGGGACATTAAATCAGCGTTCAAGAACGCCAGATGTTCCCTGGAGTGTAAGCTTAAACGTATGTGCGTGTGTGTGTCTGTCTGCAGCTGATTTATCCACAGCGATCTGCGATAGCTCTCCTTGGGAAACGCACAATGGCCTATAGAAACGGTTTGTTTCCTTGCGATTAGACACACACATGTACACGGCACATGTATCCAGCCAGAAAGAGTCGAATATGTTTTGTAAAGTGTAACGGGGATTTCCGCTCAGTTCACGTGTGACAACAGCAGTTTTTGCCAGCATTTGTCTGAAAGAAAACGTAAGAGATTTAAAGGACAAGTTAACATAAGTCCCACATGTAAACACTGAGATGAATTTTTCTTGCTCATGTTCAACCTGGCCAGTTGAGCTTCCTTCCTCAAGTGTATATTTTCCAGTAGATGTTTTAGGATAACATTCTCTCTTTGTGTCCCCCTAGACAGTGAACTGCAATAGACAAACAGATAAATGGACTAACTAACTCATATTCGTTTCAGATAAACTTTTTTTATTAATCAAGAACCAAGTCTGTGGATTGTGCCCATCACTCACATTGAAAGCATATGAGGAGGGGACCTTTCAATGGCTGGTATGGAGCAGCTGAAACTTTTTCAGTGTTTATGGTGAACCAGACTGTTGGTTTAGGGCCCAAAGGAAAAGCTACACAGCCCACATCTACATATATTGTCGAGAGAGTTTACGGCACTATAACTATCCTCATAAACACTGTAACTTACAGACAAATGGAGGTATTCCCCTTTAACTCTTTCCCCCCTTTTTTTCTCCTCTCCTGTGCTGCTACATGACATCCCCCTCCTCTCTCTCTCCCTCCCTCAATCCCCTCTGCTATAAATTTCAGCCTCTGTCTTTGCTATTGAATCATAAATCAGAAATTCCCTTCCTGTACCTCTCTCTCTCTCTCTCTCTCTCTCTCGTTCCCCCTCTTTTTTTTATTACACAATAGGCCAGACTTTATGTCAGAGGGCAGCCATATTTAATATGTGTGTGTGTTTGTATCTCCCACCCCAGGCTTTCCTGTGACTCCGGGTCCCCACACCCAAGTCTGCACCGGTGAGTTCACAGACATCCACATCAGTACGCACACACTGAAACATGCGACACGCCCTCGCATGCATATGAACAGGAATTGGCACGTTAGCACAGACACATGCACCCAAAGGTACAATATTGGCTTTAAAAAAAAAAATTCTGCACAAACTCCTGCATGCACAGGTGCTTATAGTCTGAGGTTCTGTTAACACTCGCCACTGAGGTGCTGTTAACACTCAGCCCGAAATAAGCAACAGGCAAAGAGTATGTTCAGTTTTAACAAGGGCTTTGGCGAACATGGAAATATATTCCTGCTGCGAGTTTGTTCCAGAAACCTTAAAAATGAAACAGCACTCGCACTGTACTTGCCAATATTTCCACTTTGCTCCTCCTCTAATGCTCCTCCTTTGTGTTTTACACTGTGGACTTCACATGCTCAGACTTGTTTAAAGGGTTTGCTTTATAGGAAAAGTTCTATACTTATTACTGTTTTTTAAAATCTAAATGCAGATACCTCGTTAGCAAATCAGAATATTCATGACTGTTATTGACATAGTTGAATAAAAATGGGAGAAAAAAGGAGAGCTGCATGATGATATTGAATCTGCTCTTATGCCATCATTAGTCAGTTGTCTTGGCACAAAAACACGTTTAGCAGTAGCTTTAAAAGTGCAGATCATTTTTGCTTTTGTGCAGGGCCAGTCTGAGTTTTCCCTTCCTTTTTTTTACTATTAACCCAAATATCTCAGCTAGAATCTTTGTCTAAAAATGTTCCGAGAACGTTCTGCAAAATTCTAGTAGATGTATTCCATCTCACATCATCAGAGACCTCCTGCTCGACCATCTCTGATTTGCTTGAAACTTTTTTTTTAATCATAAACTGTGTAAATTTAAAATGGTAGCTGTGTAATTTTTGCTTTATATATATATCACATACTTTGAGAGATAATTTTAAGCTATGTTTAGATGACAACATCTTAGGAGGTATTAAAGATAAAAGCCCCGTCTGTGAGCACACATTAACCACACAATTACAAAAAAGTGCTTGTCCTATATTGCAGATTCCTAATCAATCGCGTGATGACAAACAACACTGAAAATTTCAGGGTATTATCTTTAATGATTTCAAAGATCTTGTGGTTCAAACATAGCTTTAAATGTCAGCATGTGTAAGTAGAAATTTTCCTAAAGATCTCATGATTAGAGATGGACTGGCCCAGTAGCGTTTTCAGGGAGAATGTTTTTTTTTCTTAGTTCCCAAAATGTCCTTTTAAAAGGTAGGATGAGACATTCTAAAAATATTTGGTGACAACATTATGCCCTGACACTCCTAAAACGTTTTCCAAATGTTACACTGAGAATATCCTTCCTTTGTTATCACATGAAAAGGTGGGAAGTTTTATTGAGACACATTCTATAATCTGTTTCCTCAACACAGCCTTAGAGGTTTGCCGGCAAAATGTTCTACCTTTGTTAATATATCACATTACAGGAACGTGATGAAATGACAAATTATGTCATCTGAGGCCTCAACAAACTCCTAAAAAACACTTTTTGAATGTTAATTTTCTAATTTTCTTTCTTTCTTATCATGTAACACAGTCTGTGGTCCTAAAAACATCCTCAAAATTCCTCTAAATGTTGCAGTTAGTTAACTTTTAATCTCACAGAAACATTGTTTGAAATAATAAATATCTTTAAATTGTTCTTTAGAACTTGTAGGTAATGTTTGCCAATGTTGTGGGAACGTTCCCTGATCGCTAGCTGCTGCCTACAGCAAGGAACCATAACTGTTTCTGTAGAAAATGAGATCCTAAAATTGGCAGTACGTGGCTGTTTTGCATCAGCAGTGCGGCGTTTGATGCTTTCATGGGAACTAACAGGTTCTAGTTCAGGCTATTTAGAGCAGCTGAAGGGACAGCAGTGTCTTACAGCCTGTGTGTGTGTGTGTGCGCGCACGCCTGCGTGTCACATGTTATGGGTGTGTTTCCGTTGCTCGAGGACTTCCAGGGTCCCAGAGATAATGTGGAATTCATGAGCCGCACAGGGGTTCCTTCCTGTCACCTGACTCGGTCCCTTCCTGTTTCCTGCGTCGGACCTCCAAGGAGAAGGGTGAAGCTGGCGGAGGTGATGGAGGAGCGTCGGTGGTCGGTCCAGTCAGGTTTAACGCTGATTAGGATGAAGCTGGCTGCTGAACACAGCTGACAGGACAGTGCCCGAACATTTGAAAAAAATGTAAATGTTGCTGCCCAAATGCTAATGTAGGAGGAAAGTAGAAAATAAAGTGAACAAAGAAATACCGCTGGTAAATGGGGACAAGACAGACGCAAAGGAACAATAAAAGAGGCAGTAAGAGAAAGAAGGGAGGAGAGGGAGAAAGAAAGAGGTGATGGCAGGATCCATATGGGGCCTCTTGGTTTTTGGGCAGCAAAGGGAGACATGCCAGGTAATGGCTTCCAGACACACACGCTCTAATTCGATTTAGAAATCTGACAGCAGACTGAGTGTATATGGATGTGTGTATATACCTGAGGCATTTTCTTTCGCATGCTCGAGAGGTCTGACTTCCTCTGCCCATTGGGAGAGGGGCCGGTTAATCTGTGTGTGTGTGTGCATGCATGTGTGTGTGTGTGTGTGTTGGCGAGCACTAGGGGTTAATGTATGCTTTCAATCACAGCTCTAGTGGGGAGAAATCAGATCCCTGCAGCGTAGCAGAAGTAGATCAGCGCACACACACATGGCATTAGAAAACAAACGTCAGATGAGAAAATCAATACCAGTCGTCTGTCCGTTGGTTAAATATGAAGCAGTTAGCATAGCTTAGCATGACAACCAAAAAAAAGGGGGAAACCGCAATAACAAAATCCCCTCTGATACCACGTTATATTTTGAGGTTCTGGAAGGCAGACCCAGATTGAATTATTTGTTCTAAAACTGATCTGAGTAGAAAGTTCTGCTAAGTTCTGCTCGTGTTTTCCACTGGGAAGTTCTTTACAAGATCCAAGAATGTTTTTCTTAAAGGCACGTTTTCTAATGACACTATTAGATCATTATGCATTAACATTCTTCAAGTGTCCTCTAAATGTTGCATTAAGAACACCCTCCCTTATTGTTTTACAAAAGAACGTTTTCTCCAATGTGTTACCTCAATGACATCCTCAGAACATTGCAGGCAAAATGTTTGACCTCTGGTAATATATCCCAGTACCTCGATAACATTTTTCTAACGTTTTCTTCCTTTGTTGTCATATAATATAATCTGTGATCCTGACAACATCCTCCAAACATCCTCTAAATGTTACAGTTCATGTCTTAACTTTCAGCCTCATAAATGATTAATATCCTTACAACATTCTTTGAACATTTGACTAAAACATTTTCTTTAAAACATTATTAGATCTTTTTGATAATGTTAGCCAGTGGGAACGTTTCCTGCCAACATGGGATTATGTTACCTTTAATCAATCCAAGCAATTCTGTTCCAGTGTTAATGCTAAGCTATCTTAGCCAGCTGCTGGCAGTTAAAATGTTTAACTTTGTTATTTGAAATGATGCATTTCCTTGAAACATTTCTTGGGCATTAGACTGCAACTTTTTCTTTACAGCATTATTACTACTTCTGGCAAGAAAACAAGGTTTTAAGTTCAGCATTTGTTTGAGACCGACCATATACACCTGACCGCTTCCTGCTTTTGTGTGAAAAGGTTAAAAGGGCAGCTAAAAACAAATCAAGCAAAGTAAAGCAATACAGACAAAGATGTGGAAGGAGACAAACAAAGAGGAAAGTGAATGTGAGAAGTAAAATACAGAGGACAAGATGAAAAGAGGAGCTCAGGAAGGGGGATAGATCTGGAGGAGTGGGAGGGAAGCGAGAGGGCAAGATGACTTCACTGGGATCCACCGCCTGCTTTAGATTCCTCCACCCTTACAAACTCTGCAGCTTCCCAGTCAGGTAAATCCCCCAGCTTTCCCCCCCCTATGTGCTGTCACAGCCCTCCCACTCCTGGTGTGTGTGTGTGTGTGTGTGGTGCGTATGTGTGTGTCACCACTTTTCTCTGACATTCCTGTGCAGAGCAGAGAGACGGAGCGCTCGGCTGCAGAGAGACACAACTGCAAATCCAACTCCCTCAAAAGCCAGGATTTTATTCTAACAGAGAATTTCTGTTTTTTCCCTGCAGTTCCCCGTCCAGCATCCATCGGTTTCTCATCGAGCTCCTCACTGATTTGGGAAATCTGCCCGCAAATCAGCTGGGAAGCCTTAAATTTTTTTCACGAGGGATTTCTACAAAAGCATCCTCTTGTATCCAGTCACAACTTCCTCCTGTTCCCTCTTCTCTCCATCTGCTTCCCTGGAGGCAGATTCCAAGCTTGCCAAATTCCAGAGTTTGGGAATACTTTTGTGCTCGGGCCAGGAGAAGCAAAACAGACGAGGACGTAGCGGAGCAAGCAGCACTTAAAGGGGTGAGTTAACCTGAAATTAAAAACTTTTTTTGAGCTCTTGTTTATATATCGTTAAATGCTATTTGCAGAGCAGTGGAAAAAAACATGAATTAAGTAAATGTTTATAGTGAAAGTGCATGAATTGTAACTGTAAAAGTCAGAGCTGCATAATAATGAGCAGCAATACTTAAGAGTGGGTCTACCTTACCTTTACAACATTTCTCAAGCTGACAGCACTCCATTGTTAATGGTACATAAAATAGTACGTGTTGCACAATGTAATGTTGTGTCTCACAGGAGTTTTAGTTGCTTGTTCTGCTGATTCTTTGCTAGATCTCAGGCAAAAAGCAGAGAAATAAAGCATGGAAATTAGCGGGGGTGTAAATCCTCCAGTGCACTTTGAGCTTGAGGACATGATGGGATGACAGAGACAAAAAGAAGAAAATGATGGGAGAAAAGTATGTGCAGGAGACGATGTGGAGTTTCATCCTCTCTCTGGTTTAATCATCAAATAGCAAGGACAACTGCAGGACATACACCAGCATGCTTTATATTCAGAAGTCACATGCTTGAATAAATGCACACAGATGTTGCATGCATGTACGCAAAGAAACAATGTCAAGCTAACTTATGGTCTCCTTCTTCTGCCTGTCACACACACACACACACACTCAGAAGAAAGAGATTTAAACAAACACATCTTTGTTTCATTGCACTCGGCTGTTTAGTTCGCTGCTGGCTCAAGATCACGGTCTTGATCCCAGCGCTGCAATCAATACTCACACACAATCCAGACGCACATTAAGGAAGAACACGTCGACCGACAGATTATATAAAAACACAAAGGAAATGCGTATATGTATATGCAGTCTATAAAGTATGCGCTGCATGTCTTAGTTTAATTACAGAGCAATCATCGAGTTACTGTTCTGTCTCTTACTCATCCACGTTCTCATGTTTGCTTAAACCAGGCAAAATGTCAGCTCATATCATAGTCATTTACGTATATGGTATTTGGAAGACATCCTGATTCCAGAAAGCTTCCTGATGCAACCAGTCGGTGACCTCTGAGCCTTTATAGTAGCTGGGAGTTTGATATTCAAGAATAAAGTGACAGCTGCTGTAAAAGATGGTTGGGGTGTGTTTCCTTCACTTCCCCTCCCTGGCTGATGAATATCCTTCTCATATCCAGAATTCCTCCCTGTTTTCTGCACTGTATTTAATAATCCAACAAATTTATGTCGTATATCGCGACTTCCAAAGTACGCACAAAATGAAGCACATGCAGTGGTTTGATTTTGATGCATGTGAAGCTAGTCATGCAACACAAAATGCAGCACAATATACCTTAATTTGTAATAGCACGAAAGCAGGAGTGTTAATAATAACAATCATATTCACGATGGCTCCATAATATCCAAGTATAAGCTGTGGCAGTGTGCCTGAGTCAATATGCAAAATACCAGGACGCTGAAGCAGCTGAATGGAAGTCAGCCAGCATTCATTTTATTATTTACACCTTCTCTTACAGGTCACAATGTCGTGTGAAAAGGGCCTTTTAGAAAACAGCATGATGAAATGAGTGTGCAGGCCGTAAAACAGTGTTTTTATTTTATGATTAAGTTTCAATTTAAAGCCTGTTAAGAAGAATATGTTGCTTAAATCTGCAGTAAATGATTATGTTCGCAGTGGATCACTTAATTGTGTCTGAAATGAGCCACTTATCGTAGCTAACACATGGATTGTTATTCATTGAGTTCTATAGAAAGTTCATTTCGATGTTGTTTTGGTTTTATGGCTCACAGATTTATAGTTTGCTTCACGCTCATTTGATCCTGTCAGCCTTGTTTCAACACATTAGTTCTCTAAGAAGTTGGTGGAGACCAAAACTGAGATAAAAGGAAAGTTTATCATAAGTTCTACCAGATGGCAAAAAAACATGACCCAAAAAATTGCTAACTTTGCATGAGATTTATAAGCAACTACCTCAAAGCTCTTAAATATTTTCTTTTTTAGATTTTCTAAGTTCGCATCTATTTAAAGTCAGGTCAACTTCTTTCTCCCTTTTTTCAGTTGTTAAACGCGCTTAAGTCTGAACATCAAGCAGTGTGTTCATTGTTCTAAATACATCATGTTGGTGTGTTTCTCTGCAGACCCTGGCTCCTGTAAAGATGGCTGACGTGGTGCAGCCAGATCCCAACAGCCTGCAGATACCGGGTGAGACACACACACACACACACACACACACACACACACACACACACATACATAGACACTCATTAGTTTTCTATTGCAACGCGGTCGAAATGACTCACTTCTCCCTCTTTATCTGTTGGAGTGTGAACACGCTGACCTTTCCATGTCCCTCTCCCACTTGGGAATATTACTCACTTCAGATTCCACTGACATTCCGGTCATTCCAGTTCATTACAATTATCCAATCTCGCATCAAGAGAGCTGCAGGACAAGTGTGTTTACATCCCAACCTACTAATCTCAACTGTGAGAAATTAGATGCTTTCTGCATGTATACGTGTACGTTAGTATCAGCAGCTGATGACAGTCCAATACTGCCTCTTTCCTTATGATAAGAAAGTTTTCCCACAGCTGCGTATCACTCCGAACAGACAGATTTTTTTTGGCAGTTATGTTCATTTTCTATTGGAGTACGTGTGATGTTTTTCTAGTACAGAAACATATTTCAAATGAGATTTTATTAGTTAACCACCACATGTTACTTGTGCTGCATTTATCTTTGTTTTTTCTTATCTCTTCCATGAAATTCCAGGGGAAAATTTATCAACGCCGTCTTCGCCTGCCACGGCGAGAAACGACTGCAGCATCACGCCCCTCACGCCCTCCCCGTCGCCGGTATTTAAGCACACACAGCCACTCACCACAGCCACTCCTACACACCCTTTTCCTCTTTCTACTTATTTTTCTTTATATAGAGCCCTTAAACAAGACCCGTAAAGCCACATCCACTTCTAACTGCTATTAGCGGTTTATAATGACACTTATACTCACAGCTTAAAGTGACGAGTAAACCTAAAACAAGTACCTAATGAAATCTAGAATCTGCGGCAAGGAATTGCATACACGTCGGCACTAATTCTCACAAGTACTGAAGGGAAAAAAAAGAGAAACGGCCTCTGATTTCTAAGCCAACCTGCTAATTCTCTTCTATGCTGTTTCTACTCATAGAAACCAGTTATTACATGAATGCGAGAGAGGTTGGTTTAGATCCCACCCATGCTTCCCTTTACAGACAGAAATGATAGCCTGCATCAGCTTATTCACTCCGCAATGTTTGTCGATGGTCAAAAATGAAAAGATTTACTTCTTTTTGTGCTTTATGCTAACAGGCTAACAACGACAATGCTAAGATGTTAATGTTTAAGGGGTATAATATGTCCCATGTGAATTAACATGCTAATATTTGCTAACTGACAATAAACAAAGAAGAGAAACACTAATTTCTCTGTCCATCTATCTCTTACAGAGGGTGGAGGTCAGACCCAGGATGGCCTGCCCTTTCTCAGTTGTCGTGGCGATAGACTTTGGGACAACCTCCAGCGGCTACGCTTTCAGCTTCACGCAGGACTCCGAAGCCATTCACATGATGAAGTAAGAATCTGTTCTCTTCAACTCTGCTCTGTTATGTTTTTCTCTGTCCTTGACAGCTTTTATTTCCTCCAATCCATGCAGACGTTGGGAGGGAGGCGACCCCGGAGTGGCCAATCAGAAGAGCCCAACATGTCTGCTGCTGACCCCTGAATTGAGGTTCCACAGTTTTGGATTCGCCGCGCGAGACTTCTACCACGACTTAGATCCTGAGGAGGCCCGGCACTGGCTTTACTTTGATAAATTTAAGATGAAGATCCACAGCACAAGCGTAAGAGAGATGACAGAAAAAATAGAGGTGGAAATAGCGACAGTAAAGCTTTAAAGTTTAACTTAATACCAAGCTGAAAAGCAGTGGTTTGCATGTTTTAAATCTGTTGTGTCTGTAAGCACATCTAGTGTTAACATTATGGTGTTCTGACACCCAAGGGTGCACTTCTATATCACTGCAGCAAGGTGAAAAGTAAAATCAATATAATTTAAGAAAGCAAAATTTAACTGATGTTACTAGAAGTTACTCTTAAAGCACCACAAAGAAGAATTCTTCATGCAGTGGAGTTTCAACAGTTGTGGCTGTGTTTGCTGCAGGACCTCACCATGGAGACAGAGCTGGAGGCGGTCAACGGTCGGAGGGTCCGGGCCATCGAGGTGTTTGCTCACGCCCTTCACTTCTTCAGGGAACATGCTCTGAAGGTAATTCCTCGTTCGTTACCACAACCATGATGAGTGTGTTCATACATTCTAGGACTGTCAGTGCAAAGTATGTGAGTGTGAATTTATGTTTGCAATCTAAGGTGATGACATGACTTAAAACTTTAACTCACAGAGTGATTTGCCTCTCCTTTAATAAGTACCATTTGGGGGTATTTTACTTTGCATACTAGCGGGCTATACTCACAGTAACTCAATAGAAGTTGGATTAAATCATGAAAGAAACGCGGTTCAAGCTACATTTGAGAGAAGCCAAACTGAAGCTCTTATGGATTCTGTTTTAGGAGGTGAAAGACCAGTCGTCATCAGTGCTGGAGGGAGAGGAGATCAGATGGGTGATTACCGTCCCTGCTGTGTGGAGACAACCTGCCAAACAGTTCATGAGAGAAGCTGCGTACCTGGTAGGAAAACACATATTGACCAAATAGACACAGCGTTAGAATATTTTTCTTTACAACATTTTTATGCCTTTAGGTTAGAAAAAACTATTTAAAAAAATTAAATATGTTACTCAAGTCTCTGAGGATTAAAATGTACCACATTACAGGATCATACTGTATGCACAGTGGATTTTATTTTGTAGATTCAGACACACTGATAGAATGCTTTTCTTTGTGTACCCTGTGTTTAGGCTAAACTTATATCAATGCATAGCTTTAATCTAAGCTTTTTATGACTTGACTTCTGCACTAGACACTGTCCCATATGCACAGAATCGCTGTACAGGCAGTTTGTCTGTGGTAGAGGAAGATGAAACACAGCGTATAAAGCATGAGATAAAGACTGTCTGATTAATGTTCCCATGGAGGATCACTTACAGCAGACACACACAAATCATAACGCTGCACTTTTGCCTCTTTCCCCTCTGTATACCTTCCCACTGAATACACACACCCCTCCTCTGCGTACTTGTACAATGACTTGTCGGAAGTGTGCGTACATAGACAAGAATGCAGGGGGTCCTATCACAATATACATCAATGAGAACGGACCAACCTGTGCATGTGAGCGTGCGTCTGATTGTGTCATACATACATGCACTAATTCATGGGAAAAACTTGCAACCTTTTACTCTTAATGTCATCTTTTGCCCATTGACTCACACACAATCAACTCACAGATTTAACTGTTAATCTGCCATTCAGTCACAACACGAATTATCGAATGCACTTTTCACATGCACGCTGCTACGAACGTGCACACGCCCTGCGCTGGCTCCCGGCTCGAGGCGTGTGCGCTTCCTGCTGGTGATGATGTCATCAGGACCGAACAATAAGGGAGACCGGCGTACAAACACAGGAAGTGGAGACCAGACCCCCGCCCTGCGACGCACTCACACACACACACACACACACCGCCACAGCAGCTCAACTTTCCTCCCAATACATCAAACCCATACACCTCTCCTCTGCTTTCAAGTCTGCCTTTCACCCCAACAGAGAGAGAATCTTGTGTCATTTTCTTTCCCCCCATCACCACCTTTCACCCTCTGTTTACATTTCTCCATGTGTTTACATTGCACAGCTGTCCTTCAGCATGTGTGTGTGTTACTCCTCTTCTTCTCCTCCTCTTTTTTTTTTTTGTCGACCTCCATTAGTTGCCCTTCATCCAAATGTCATGACGTGTATAATGTCATTTTGTAGTGCTGACGTCTGAGAAGATTCCTAAACATGATCAACAAAACATAAAAACGTAACTCAGTCACCAAGTTTTTTCATTTTCTCTCCATCTTCACTGATCACGACTGAACTACTCATCCCCTATCAGTCAGCAGAGTGAGACTATTTCTTTTTGTGTTTTCCAGGCTGGTCTCGTGTCTCCCGACTGTCCCGAGCAGCTCCTCATCGCTCTCGAACCCGAGGCTGCCTCCATTTATTGCCGCAAGCTCCGCCTCCACCAGGTGATTGACCTGAGCATGCAGCCAATCACGAACGGCCTGGATCCGGACGGGTCCCGACCCTTCGACTCCAGCTTCAGACAAGGTAGAGTCGGTTATGTGTGGGGCTTTTTTTGTTTTGCAGGCTTTGTCATTAGCAGAAGCATGAAACCACGCTGTGTTCCTGGAAACGTTGCTGTTTGATTTCACTTGCGGATTGTGGTTCTTGCAAAAGATGAATCTGTGTGTGTTTGAGAGAAAGAAAGAGAGCACAGAGGGGTAAAGATCCGGCCTTAGATATCGCTCATGGTTTCGCCTCAGATGACTCGGCAGTTGTGTATGTTTGTGGTGTTTGGACAGACCATATGTTTTGTGTAGAGCAGACAGCGAAGCAGGGGGGATAGACGCACGAACAGAAGGTGAAAGAGGAGGAGAGCTGTGTTGAAACCGACCACAGGATTCCCATGAAAAGGGACATTCAGCCTCTCAAGGCACTATTTAGCACATGAGCTTTTTAATTATCTTTACAATGCACCAGAAAAACTTTGCTGAAGCGTTCTGTATCGTTTGGCTTGTATTTTGTGGCAGTGTGGGTATGCTTTTCAACTGAGAATAAACAGTGTTTGACGTAGAGAATGTTCTATATAGGCAATATACAGGAGGCATTTCCAGGGAATAAAATGCTCCCAGGGGATTTTTTTAAAGGACTTTTAGGAAATATGTCATTCTTCAGTAACAGATACAAACTTTGTACTTAAAAACATTTGATAAGAAATTAACTAGAACCATGAATCCTCAGCAGGATTTCTTTTTCAAACAGAAGATCGTCCTTATCACATGTGTTCTTACTACTGGAAATACTCGCACAGGAGGGAAGGCATGATGTACATCAGCATGCACGCTCGCTCGCTGTGAATTCTCCGGATAATTACCTGCTGTCTTCACACATGGGCTCTATCGGACATTACACATGGCTTTGTGCTAGAAAGCTGGCAGGGTGAAGTCCGTTTAATCAGCCCGACTGATCCCGACATTTGCTTTCTTGCATACAGCTCCCTTGGGTAATGTCTTGAAAAGTTCAGGGCTGCAGTGCATCTGTGAATATGGCTTTTGATTCCTAAAGAGCAGAAAGCTTGAGCGGCTCCAGGTAGATTCAGGCACTTAAATTCGTACAGAATCTGAGAGAATGTTGTGCCAAATTTCACTTTGCATTTTTGCACCTCTGTCTGTCTTCTTCCAAAGTACTAAGACTCACAGTATTGCGGTATTTAGAATGAATAATTTCTGATCGTAAACAGTTGCTCAGCTACCCTTAAGCAGACATGCATTATGCTGCAGCTCAGAAAACTAAAATATTGAGCCGAAAGATGCTAAACTTCTGAGGGAAACTGCTTGTTCATCACTACAAATGAGCTATTCCACATTCCACATATCCATTTGATCCATTGTTGGAGTTGTGCAGCTTTAAAGAAAACTTTTAAATAGAAGCAGCAGTTAGGAAAACTACCTCCAGAACTAGCAGAGAAGTGACAACTTGAAAAACATTTTCAACTTGCTAAACAGAAAAGAATGACTTTCATGCCCACAAGTCCGCGGTAAAGCTGCACAGAAACGAAACATGCTCCCAACAGCTAAACTGCAGCAGTGAACAAAAGCAATTTCGGGCCGGGGAAGGGGAGACCGATGCATAATTCAGCGAGTGAAACATGCTGTCCAAAATCCCCTGCAAAGGCCCACTTATACATATGCAGTCAGTGACACACACACACACAAAGAACATTCACACACACTAAACACAGGATATTGTAATTGGAACAAGGTGCAGTGAGACTATGATCTCACCCCCTCCCGGCCTGTCATTCGCCCTCACTCACTTTCTTTTCCCTCCATTCTTCTAGCGTTTTCTCTCCATCTTTTGCTTTTTCTCGCCAGGTCTTTGCAAGGACTCTGCAGACACACAAACACACGTATTTACACACACACACACATTTGGCATCACAGTCGCTTTTTTTTTTTTTTTTACTATCTTTAGCTTTTCTTCCACCTCATTTGGTCTCCAAAGATAGCACTGGGGAGTCATTAACACACACGAGCACACACATACATTTTCTTTTCTGCTGTTTCATGTAAATGGTTTCCAGACTTGCGTTCCATTCATCACCGCCGTACAAACACACACACACAGATGAAATCAAGGCTGTATGATTGTGCTGCTCTTTGTTCGGCTTCATTTGCAGCGCACACCAACACATACATTACCTCCTGCGTCATCCACGGCCCTGAAACAACTGTAACAGCACTTTGCTTTCAAGACAGCGTTGCTCAATAAGTGTGTAATCTTTACAAGTCGGGCTGTTTTCTTTGTTCTCTTTCTACCACAGATTCCGCTGTCTCTCTCTCTCTGTCTTGTACAAATATTTCGTGGTTAGCAGTACTCGTGCGGTTTGAGGGAATCAAGTAAAAACCACTTTTCCTCACACTTCACCAACTAAACCTTTCGCTTAAGGCTTCACACACACACACAATTTTCCCCCTCAGGCATGCCAATTCATCAACAAACAGTGGAGAAATATGGATTTTTATTTATTTTTTTATTCCAACTTCCTACTCTGTTTTGTTTGATTTATAATTACACAGTGCTGAGCCATTATGTCTCATTTCATGCTTTCCCCTCTGCTTTTATGGAGGCATATAAATGTGTCCGCTCTGTCAAACAGGCTGTCGGGTACGTTGTATTTCTGCCAGCTGTGTATGAGCGCGTTCTGTTTTCGTTGGCCTCCGTCCATATTCTTAACCTGCCAGTCGCGCGGGTTTACATGTCAAGAACAAATACAAAGTTGAAATCTGAGAGCGGTCTTCATTTCCAACAAATTGCTCCTGTCATGCAAAAACATTATGACTGTACGTTTTTCTTGTTTTACTTGGATCCAAAGATTTGTTTTCTACCCCGCATAAATGCCATGAACTCTTGGGTTATGCAACTCGCTTAAACCTTATGTGTAGCGTAAATTAAAAGCATTCATCTTCATTAGCTAGAAAGTGAGGATGTTTAGGTTTTCCCTTAACGCACTTTGTATTGGGAATTAATCAAACGCAACTTAAAGTGACTGAAAGTCCAGGGAGAGTGTTGACACAGGTAGACACAAAAAAAAAATGACAGATGGTGAAAGGTGGTGATGACTCTTGGGGCATACAGCTGGAGGGAGTCCACACAAATTCCTGTGTAATTAATTTGTTAAATAAATACCGCAATAAACCTAAAAGCTGAAAAGAAAAATGCCTTAAACCTGCTGTAATATTTTTGCCCCACAGCATTTGTTTTTACAGTTGCTTATTTCGACTTCCAGGCTTTGCAGTATATATAACAGATGAAGTGTAAATAAAAATGGACAAATCCTCCCTCACGTCACCCACAGATTTCTGGGAGACCGGTTTTAGAGCTCAACGTGGTAGCTCCATCAACTGGCCTTTGAGTCACCACACTGCCAATTATGCACAACTTTTAGGACTGATTGCAAATTAAACGGTTGATTTATATGAAAATTCACTCTCTATGTAGTTTTCATCATTGGGGAAATTAGCTACCAGGCTCTAAATGTGTTTAACAAAGAGCTCTATAGAGATTGGCCATTTGGAAAACTATATGTTTGTGTTGGCTTAATTTTTAAAGCCCCAGAGGCTGCTGCCTGATGTAACATTACCATATATGACTAAGATGGATAAAGTATTGTTTCTGGCCACCTGATTAATTTAAAACCCCTCACTTTCCTTTTACCTCTGCTTTTGGTCTCAACCAACTCTTGCAGAGAATATTTGGTTCTTTTGCTTCAAAATGTACCACTAGTCTAGGCTAGTTGTGAACTAGAATAACATGAGTTGTGCTTTTTAGAGATTTTTTCAATTTAGACAGCTGCGACTTAATGAGTCACAATGAGGTAAAATATAACTGTTAAGTTCAGACCTGGAGGTGAGTAACCCTCCGTAACATAAAGACTGCAAGCAGGGTGAACTATCAGCCTGTTGTCAGTCATTTTAAAAGATACTTCTACAAAGCAAAAAGAGGAAAAATGTGACTTTTGGAAAGTTATGTGCTGGCATTAATATGTGACTGTATTTCTGTAAAGTGCATCCAGGCTGTTGTTTGCCAAGAAATAGTTCCTGTAAGTAGCTCAACCACAAAGTGACAATTTTTACATTGCAGTTTTTGTGATTTTAACTAGTAAAACATATACATCTTTTGATCTTTGGAGATAAAGATAGGTGCACTAATCTAATTGTAGATCAGTTTTTTTAAGTAGGGCGCTCCACCATACTGAAGTCATGAGTTTTGTATCAATCTTATCACTCTGAAACATAAGGAGTGTCGAGCTGTCGAGTAAAAGTGGACGATTTCTTCCCCTAAACTTGGTGAAGAACATCACCTTTTTTCTCGTCTGAATAGAACAAGAAAGAACAGTCTGGGGAATCAAAGCGTTGTCGTTAACCTCACTGGAATTACATCTTGTAAATGTAAATCATGTTGTGTGTGCGTTGCAGCGAGGGAGCAGCTGAGGCGATCGAGGCACAGCAGGACCTTCCTGGTGGAGAGTGGAACTGGAGAGCTGTGGTCAGAGCTGCAGACCGGTGAGGCCGTGTGTGTGTGTGTGTGTGTGTGTGTGTGTGTGTGAGTGTGAGACAGACAGACCCCACATGTCGGTAAAATTGATGATTTTGACCTCTAACCTCAGCACACTGACTATGAGGAGCAGACCCGCCTCCCCTAATGTGGGAGGCTACACTTAACCACTACCTTCTAACATGTCCTGTCTTTTTTCCTCTTCAATTCACAGTTTTCTTTTTGTAGTTCAGCATGGCAACAGTTCTACACACATATCTAAAACACCTGTTATATTTGTCCCGTGGAACCACTAGCTGTTGATGTAACTGTTGAGTTAGCAGCTAATTAGCTCCCTTCATATTTCACGGTTATTCCATTTATTAGAATCTGAGAGTGGAGCCTGCTGTGGAATAATTACAGACATCTACAGTGTTTAGTTAAAGCCACTTGATGTATTAAAAAAAGCTGTTACACAGTGATTGATTACATTTGCATTCAAAGTGTATATTCATAAGGTCAAAGTGAGTTGCAGAAGAATATTACCATTTCATTCACACTTTAAAATAATAACTGAATCGCAGAATTTACTTTTAGAGTTTGAGACAGAAGTCAGGTAATATGTTGCTCCACCTCAACCTGCATAAGATTTGTTATTTGGGATACAAAATCAAGCTCTGTAAAATATTTCTGGCAGAATTTTAAGATTTTCAGATGTTTTTAGACCTGCAAATTCTTGTATTTTCATTCTTTTACAAAAAATGTCTTACCTGGGAAGCTTTTTTAAGTGTCCAGTATCTCCAGAATTATAATTCAAAAGCCATGACATTCAGTAAGGACACAGACAAACTTGTTTCCAGCAGATCCACTTGCTCAAATGACTTTTAAAGAAGTGCTGTCCTTGAAAACAGAAAAAGTTGGGTGGTTTTAGGGCCGCAGAAAGTTTGTCAGTAAATATATGTATGAAGTATTCATATTTCCTACTAAAAATACAGTCTTTGGTTGACATTTCACCAACTTTTGAGGCCTCTAACATGAGAAGAATTTGATGTATAGCAAATACGGCAAGCCAAGGTTCCAGTTTTTTGCTATTTTGAAACAAAACTGGTGTACACAGGCGTCCGAACATTGTCATTATTTGTGCAATTTTCAACCATATTTGATGGTGTTTTGCAGCAGAAGTAGTTTGCTCAGCTCTCAAGAAGGTTGAAAGCTCCAACAACAAAGCGCACCTTGATTTAAGATTACGACCACTTTCACACTCAACAGGAGCTCTGATTGGCCTGACGCAACCGCAACCGCAAAATTAACAACCCAGAGTGTGAAGCTGCGCCTGGAATGATAAAACACCCCACTCAGGGAGAATTAAAAGTCGCCCATTTTGGTGGTTTCACACACAGCCACGTCTTTGTGTTGAGCCATGACAACAATCTGAGGAGCCACGTGGCCCCGCTGACCCTTTCTGCTCCCTTTCCTGTCCACCGCACACACAGGAAGGACCCACCCATGGGACTCTCTGCCCCTGCACTGTAAATATACCCAAGGAGTAGAAACCCGCTTTTCATCTTCCTCTCTTGCATTTTTCTTCTTTCATTCCTCTTTGCATTTCTGCTCATTCCTATTCCTTGCATTCCGTTCTCTTCCTCACTCGGTGCTACTACTTCTTACTCTCTGGTGTTTGGGGTGTGGTCAGCTGAGACCAGGGCAGCTACACCAAAACCAGCTCTTATCGCCGAGTGGATCGTAAACACGCGCACTCGCAGGGGGAGAGCAGCGATCACAGATGACTGAAGGCTGTTTATGTTTCAGGGGCTGCTGGTTGAAGAGTTTCAGAGGGAAACTGCAAACACACACACACACACACACACACACACATTCATGCTGGAAACAAGACATTTAGACATTCCACGTAAATGAAGACACATTATCGTCCACAATTTCCTTCTACAAATTACGAAGAAACACCCTGATCTTACTGCTCCTGAGATATTTCCTGGCTCAGTGAATGAAAATGAAAAGTGTTCCCAGCATGAACTGGTGTTTCTGCTCTTTCTGTAGGTGACAGGTATGTGGTTGCAGACTGTGGAGGAGGAACAGTTGACCTGACAGTCCATCAGATCGAGCAGCCTCAGGGGACACTTAAGGAGCTCTACAAGGCTTCAGGTACTCTCTTTTGCCATCCACACAATAACAAACTAATTTCCTTCAGCTACCAAAGCTGTGGTTTTCCTCCCAGGCGGGCCCTATGGCGCTGTCGGTGTTGACCTGGCCTTCGAAGCCATGTTGTGCCAGATCTTCGGCGAGGACTTCATCCAGAGCTTCAAAGCCAAGCGGCCGGCTGCCTGGGTGGACCTCACCATCGCGTTCGAGGCGAGGAAACGGACGGCGTCGCCTGGCAGGGCCAACGCCCTCAACATCTCCCTGCCCTTCTCTTTTATCGACTACTACAAGAGGCACAGAGGGCAGAGTGTGGAGGCCGCCCTGAGGAGGAGCAAGTGAGTGCGTGATCGGTGACCAGTGCGTGTGAGCAGGCTGACCGATTTGGTTTTTATCTGGAACAGTCAAGATGCAACTTCTCTGCTCTGTGTGTGTCAGCATGAACATCGTGAAGTGGTCGTCCCAGGGGATGCTGCGGCTCACGCAGGAAGCCATGAACGAGCTCTTCCAGCCCACCATCATCAATATCGTCAAACACATTGGTGAGAAATAGAAAGACAGATGACAACACACAGCATTAAGAAAATAGAAGATGTGGCTTTAAAATGGCAAGACAAGGCTGATGTACAGCGCCTATAGAAAGTATTCACCCACATTAGACGTTTTCTCCTTTCATTGCTTTTCAAAATTGAACCACGGTCAAAATAATTCAGTTCTTTTGAAAGGAATTGACTGAAAAAGGCAGATTTCTACAAAGTAATTCCAATTAATAAAAATACAAAACATAAAATAATTGATTGCTTAAGTATTCGCCCCCTTTAAGTTGGTATTTAGTAGATAAACCTTTGGCAGCAGTTCCAGCACTGAGTGTGTGTGAATAGGTCTCACTCACACATCTGGACACTCCAATGTTACCTCATTCTTCTCTGCAAAGCTGCTCCAACTCTGTCAGATTACACGATTATGAGTGAACAGCTTCATTGTTGTTTGCACAGTTTCTGCCATCTTAGCCTCTGAAGCTTCTAACTCCCTCAGAGGAGTTATAGGTGTCTTGGTGGCCTCCCTCACTCGTCTCTTTCCTGCAGATTCACATGTGCCACATTCCTTGTATTTCTTAATGATGGATTTAACTGGAGGGGATATGCAGTAACTTTTCTTGTATCCATCCCCTGACTTACAGAGTTTGCTTGAAGTGTTCTTTTATCTTCATGGTATAGTTATAGTGAGAAGTACTGATTGATCAGTGGCTGGACCTTCCACATACAGGTGTCTTTATACTACAATCACTTGAGACACATTCACTGCACTCAGATGGCCTCCATTTCTCTAACTCTGTGACTTCTAGCACCAGTTGGTTACACCTGTGTTCATCAATAAAAGGAACTTAGCACTCTTAAAGCAGCACTATGTAGTTTATATAATGTATATTTGGCATCTTACAGCCTTAAAAAAGGTGTTATTGCTAACTTCTTAGCAAACGATTGCTTATTAACATTTACGGAATTCACTCTTAGCTCTAGTTTGGTCATCGTTACATAGCTGTTAGTTTATTATGTTCAGCTGCTGGTCGCTAACTGTGGCTGTCTGCAGTTTGGTGCTGGCCAGGTGTTTTCCCACCCAAGATGTCTGCCTGTTTCCGCTTGTTATCAGTGAACCAAAACAGTAACATTGTGTGCAGTCGAACCAAAACAAAAAGCTCAAAAGTTTAGAGTCGGATGATAAATTGCCCTGTGGTTTAATCAGTGTGAACACACATAGTAATTTGAGCCATTGTTGATTTGTGCGACTTTAAATTCCCAAGATGGGACCTTGGCTTTCGACTTTCCCACGCTGCTCGAACTTTTGACCTTCCAAAAGTGATCAGCTGCCAAAGCCACAAAATGAATTAGTTCTTTGTGCTGCTTAGATCACACGTCCTAGTCTGCTACTGCTAACGGACAAAAAAAAAAAAAAACAGGGACAAAAACACAGCTACAAACTGCAGCTCAAACCAAACAAAACAAACCTCAGGCATAATGGCTTCCTTCGTCTCCTCGTTCGAGATGATGGTGACCTTGTTTTTTTTTCAGGCATGTCAAGATAGAACTAAGGCAGAAAATGTGTCTGTTTTGAATCAGCCACATTCCAGCGGTACATTAAAAACAAGGGGACTGGTTTTCTAGTGAGCACAAAAACGCTTAGAGACCAAAATAAAGCGGTTTGTGTCTTTTCAATAGAAGGAACAGATGGAAAGGAGGCAGAAATCAATAGCCACCAGTGAAAAACACTTTTTCTTTTTGTGGCATCTTTTAAAAATCGTTCCTTATTTTCTGACAGAGGAGCTGATGGCGAAGCCGGAGGTGCGCGGTGTGCGTTTTCTCTTCCTGGTTGGTGGTTTCGCAGAGTCGCCCATGTTGCAGAAAGCAGTCCAGAAGGCTCTGGGGAGGACGTGCCGCATCATCATCCCCCATGATGTCGGTCTGACCATACTGAAGGGCGCCGTGCTCTTCGGGCTGGATCCCACTGTGGTGAGGACTCAGGAGAACCAGGTAGTGTCAAAGCAGAGCTCTGACTCGTGAGCTAACACTCTTTATCTCGTAGGTCCGAGTGCGTCGATGCCCTTTGACCTACGGCGTCGGCGTCCTGAACCGCTTCGTGGAGGGACGCCACCCTCGGGACAAACTCCTCATGAAGGACGGACGCGAGTGGTGCACCGACATCCTCGACCGCTTCGTCTCAGTCGACCAGTCGGTGGCTCTGGGGGAGGTGGTGAGGCGGAGCTACACGCCCGCTCGCCTGGGCCAGCGCAAGATCATCATCAACATCTACTGCAGCGCCACCGACGACATCACGTACATCTCCGACCCCGGCGTCAGGAAGTGCGGCACGATAACTTTAGACCTACCGGAGCCGTTGCCGCTGCCGGGAGCGGTGGGAGGAGCAGGAGCAGGAGGAGCTGGACCGGAGAGGAGGGAGATCAGGGCGACCATGCAGTTCGGAGACACGGAGATCAAAGTCACTGCTGTTGACGTCATGTCTAACCGCTCCGTCCGGGCCTCCATAGACTTCCTGTCCAACTGAGGAGGAGCAGGACGTGGAGATTTGAAAACACACATAACTGATTCCAGGGATGATAATTTTAGAAAAAGCGGTACTTTGGGAGTGGGCGACATGTTTTTGTTTTTTTTCAGAGGGAGCATTGGATTCTTAGAAAAAACTCCCCTAATTCAGACTTTCCTGCTTTGCATTCACTCATTAGAACACGTATTAAATCCCCCCATCCTTCACAAACACATCCTCCTCAACAAATGCCTGAGCTGAAGGGCAGAGTACCCTCTGTGCACAAAAAAGAAGAAATTAATTCATGTGCCTCCTGGCTTCAGTGGAGAGTTTGTCATGTCACACCATATAATCCTGTCACCGGCATTTCCTGCCCAGAAAAGTCAGAGAAACACTCTGTGAAGCCGAATGCAAGCTGGGGGCTGAGTACAAATCCCTGCTGCAACACTCCAAACCTTCTCAGAATTCAACCTCACTAAGGAGTATGTCGACTGTTACCGAGGGTTTATGACCCAGACAGACTCTTCCTAACACAGTATACTACCTAGAGTGACACTCACTCATGTTAACTGTTAAATATAAAGACTGTTGTCTCATATAATAAGTGATACCTCAATTAAATCCTGTCTTCACACCTACGATATTGATGTTACTACCGGGACAACCGCTTTGTTTCTCTGTCATGTTAGTGCTCCACTTAGTGGCGAAAATGCTGGACTGCAAGGATTCAACATTTCTCAAGATAAATCAGAAAACATCTAAGGGTCGTATACTAGAAAGTACTGTGTTGTTATACCAGCGTGAGCCTTAAAAAGTCGTGTTTCCACATTTGTGTTATCCTTCATGGATGAGGTTCGTCATCTTCAGTCCAAGTCTGTTTCAACTGTGTAAAAGTTATGTTTCAAAACATTTAAAATGTTTCAAAACCTGCTTTAAAAAAAATATTAAAGCTGCATAATTTGGTGAAGAATCTACAAACTGGATATAACAATTTTGAATTGTGTCTTTTGGACGTCTTACAAATCTAAATCCAGTCGCCTTTTGCTCTGTTTTTGGTCTCCACCAGCCACTGAGGGAAATATCTGGCTCTTTAGCTGCTAAATGCTCCACTTTGTCAACAGCTCGGTTGCTTTGTTGATTTGCTGGATAGGTATTGTACGGTGGAGTGTTTTATAACACCACAGAGCAAGATGGTGAGTCTGCAGGCAAAAATAACAAGCTATAGGGTCGCAAAAACCCCACAAACCTGAGGTGGAACTGGTGGCGGTGCTCTGTAGGTTTCCTCACTAATTTACAACTATTTGAAAGTGCAGCTTTAACACGAGTTCCTGTAGAAAGAAAAACTCTTTGGTTGGAGGTGTCAGCTCCCATTACTACAGATGTCTATTTTTAATGTGTATTCTGTAATAAAGTGTACCCATGTTAAAGTATATAGAAACAAGACTGATGAACCACTGTAAGGTCCAGTGTGAAGGATTTAGTGGCATCTAGTGGTGAAGTTGCAGATTGCAAGCAACTGAATTGTCCACTCGCAATTTCCATATTCACATTCAGCCAAAGAGAACCTACATTTGCCCCAAACTGTCCCCCTCTGTAGAGCCAGTGATTGGTTTGTCTGCTTGAGGCTTTTGTAGAAACATGGCCGCTCTGTTAATATAAAGGACTCATTCTAACAAGATTCATGTTCCCAGGTGATAAGACACTCATTAGAATAAAATCATGAATACATTTCTAAATCCTTCACACTGGTCCTTTAATCTTGTTTGTTTCGACCTCATGTCTAGAACATTGTGTCCTGTGCAGGTTGGTAAAGGGATAAAACTAAGCCTTGTTCGTACATTTTTCAAACAGCTGATGTCTCACTTTAAACACCTGCAGTCCACCTGCTATAATTACTGACACACAATGAGGAAGAAGAGTCAACAGAATGATTTCAGCTGTGAATTTATTGATAAGAATGGTCCAATAAATAGTTTCACACAGCACGAGCAACACTCTTTCAGATATGCTCAACATCCTATCAGTGCTTTGCTTCCCATGTTGCACATCAGTTTGTCACGTAACACAAAACCAGATTATAGAAGTTATGGAACGACTCCTTCAGGTTGGAAGGAGAAGCGCTGACCTGAAGGGGACAGGAGTGTGTTTGTTTCCAAACTGAGGGGGAACTGCTGTCGTTCGGCTTCAATTTCAGTAAAACAGCTACAGGTGGAAACAGTGCTCGAAATGTTAAACGGGTCAATGATTCAGTAAGAAAAACGGAGAAAAACAAAGAAAAAATGTTGACAAAGTCCAAACAATCAGTCTTGAAATTGCCTCTTTTCCCCCTTTAGTTTCCTGTCATTTGCCATGTGTCTACGACTGCTTACAACACCTCATTTTATGGAGAATTCAAATCCAACTACAGATCCGTCATGTCAAGCTGCATTCAGCAAGAATGCAACCTGACGACCTTCTGTCTGCACTTGGATTTTACTGCCTCTATAAAATGAGGTTTTGTTCTTGCTTTCCCTTAGTGAGCATGGGGTCTCCCACGGCCTCGGCCCCGGCCGCCACCTGGAGGTCCGTCCATGGAGCTGCGAGGGTTCTTGATGGTCTCGTCGACCGACAGGATGAGACAAGCTGCCTCTGACGCTGCCGTCAGGGCGTTGATCCGCACGATGGAAGGCTCCCAGACGCAGGCGGTGAAGTTGTCTGCGATGTCCTCGTTGTTGATGTCCACGCCGTACCACATGCCGCCCTGAGATCAGAGGTGAAGCACACAGAGTCAGCATCATGTCCGGAGACCCTCATGGTGAAGGTTTTACTCAGCAGATTGTGTGAGATTAGAAAGTGTGTGTTTTTTTTACCTGTGCGTGTTTGGCGCGCAGTTTGTTCAGGATGTTGGTGGCGTCAAAGCCGGCATTGTCGCACAGCTGCCTGGGGATGACCTCCAGGGCCTTGGCGTAAGCTCCGATCAGCAGCTGCTGTTTTCCTGGGATGGTTCTGGAGTAATCCCGCAGGTACTTGGACAGCTCCATCTCTATGGCTCCTCCACCCGCCACAATGGAGTCATTCTGGAAATGAGTTGATATATTTACACCTTATTGCAGACAGATGGGCCAACAAATAATACAGACACTGGGTGTTGAGAGGGTCCAGATCACTATTGTGCACCTGAAAATGTATACTACACTATACATCAGGGACAAATCTGAGCCAAACTGTCAGATTTAGAAAATACATCAAGAGTCTCTGAGAGATTTTACTCATTTAAAGTCCCACTAGAAATAAACCTTAAAATTTAGTGTGCAGAAAAACCTGCAGCTACTTAACACACAGACTGTTTTTTCAGACTCTAGATGCTGACAACAAGTCACATCGGTGGAAATACTCATATTATGCGTTGTACTGAGCTTGACCACTTTATCCTCATATCACTGACCTTGATGGCTCTGCGCACGATCATGATGGCGTCATGCAGCGACCGCTCTGTTTCCTCTGTGAACTGCTCTGCTCCGCCCCTCAGGATGATGGTACATGTCTTGGCCTTCGGGCAGCCCTTAAAGAAGTTATAGCTACAGGGAGAAACAAAAGTCAGGATTTTAGAATTGTGGAAAACACCGGCAGGTTCTTGTGAAGGCCAAAGTAATATTGAACTGTAGGAAATCTGATTTCAGGCTGTCTTTTCAGGACACCTTGTTTCGAGGACTAAAAGGCTCCATTTCTTTTTTTTTTTTATCATGAGTGCTACTGATACACATAATAGAAGTTAGCACTGTCTTTGCTCTGCCTCAGAACATCAGCATATTTTCATTTCAGCCATTAGTTTGTTCATTTGACTGTTATTTGTCGTTGCCTTTTATTCTTGCTTCTTTAAGTCTTGCTGCAGAGTGAATTTCCCCTTGTGCTCCAATAAAGATAACGTTGAGTCTCAATATGTACAATACTGAAACAAATATGTACAAATACCAATAAATATAATCCACGACATCCCCGAAAGGGTTTTTAACCAGAAAAGGTTGATACAAGTCAAGATAAATAAAGTACCAAAACATTTTGTTTGTATTCTCTCAAGCGGACTGACAATGTAGGAAACGTGCATCTACGAGTGAACTCATCTCTTACCGCTCTCCTCCGACCTGAACCTCTTCAAACAGTTCACACTGTCCCAGGACATCGTCCGTCATGGCTCCTACGGAGGTCTGGATGGAGCCTCCACAGGCCTGGTGGTTACATCACACACACTCAGTCAGCAAGTTCTCAAGCTTTTAGCTGCTGTTATATCAGTCGACAAATCTGTGTTTGTAGCATCCAAGTCAACTGCAGCAAGAACTCATTTTTATAAGATAGAAATAAATTACGCTTGTATTTGTGCATAAAATCTAAATCACAGTAAAGTAAAGAAACAGGAAAAATCTGCCAAATTGTTTTAATCACTCTTATCCTCTTCTTGATGAATAAAATCACAAATCACTTCCTATCTTAGAATCATTGTCTGTCTCACCATCATGGTCCTCCTCAGATCCTCCTCCTGAACCCTTCCAGCACAGAACAGGTCTCTGTCAGCAAAGTACTGCGTGGCCACGTCTCCGATGGGCAGCTTGGACAGAACCACCTTGGCCCCTGACTGATAGATCTTCTCCAGTTTGTCGTACAGGATGTTCCACTCTGCATCTACAATGGCCTGGTAGTCCTGCAGAAGAGGTGGAAGAAATAAAGTTAACAGGGAGCAAGAAAAAGAGACGCAGACATAAATGTTAAGGTTGATGTGGTTCCTTCGTACCTCCACAGATTTCACGCGGACCTCAGCGTTGTCCTTCTCAGCCTTCAGCTCCAGCTCCACGTTGAGCAAAGCGATCTTTGGATTCTCGTAGCGTTTGGGCTGCATCTCAAACCCGGCGTAGGAGAAAGTCTTCTTGAACGCAACTCCAGAGATCAACTGGGAATCCTGTCAAGACGGAGGACAAAACATTTGAAATAGATGAATGTTTGGTCTAGTAGGGAGAGGAAAGATGGCTCAGAATTGATTTTTGAAGTTTCTCTGAGTGCTGAACTCCAGACACCAACCTCGAGGGCTCCTCCCTGCACCTTCTTGATGCCGATCATCTTCAGAGACAGCAGCTCGTCCAGAGACATGACAGCGTCCACCACCATTTTGGAGAAGAAATCCTTCTGACCAGCAATCAGCTTTGAGTTCAGGGCTGTGGCTGCACACTTTTCCAGCAGCTGCCTCTGCTCTCTGACAGGACACAGAGCGAAAAATACAACTTCACTGTGCTGATCACAGGACAGATCAAATCTTAAATGCTTGTAATCTGTCACAGAGAAAGTGAGCGCTTACTGCCTGTCGTCTTTTTTCACTGAGACAGAGATGTCCCTGATCTTGTTGACAGCGAGGTTGGTGGCTGTGCGGAACGCTCTGATGATGGTCTGAGGGTGGAGACCCTCCTCCACGTACGGCTTCAGCTGCTTCAGGAACTCAGCTGCCAGGAGGGTGACGGAGGTGGTGCCATCGCCAACCTGAAGAAGGAAAGAAAGGTGGTGTCAGTTTGAAATTTGAGACACATTTCAGTCGTCCACTCAGAAAAGGCCTCCAACACATTCATCTCACCTCAGCATCCTGGGAGCGAGCGATGTCCACCAGAGTCTTGGCTGCAGGGTGAACCACATCCAGCAGCTTCAGGATGGTGGCTCCATCATTGGAGATTGTGGCCTTACCTGGAAAACAAACATTTTCATTAACGTGCTCAAGACTAACCTGCAACAAATTCCTTCTTTTAACTTTATCCCATCTGTCTCCTCACCTCTGCCGTCCACCATCAGCTTGTCCATCCCTCTGGGCCCCAGGGTGGTCCTGACAGCCTCAGCAATCACCTGCACAAGAAAACACAACAGGTACATTTAGAGGCATCGAAAACAGGTTTAATTGAACAGATGCCACATACAGGAAATACAAACTACAGAGAGTAGAGCTAGTTTTCTGACCTGGCAGGCATTGATGTTGCTGATGAGCTGGGGGATGCCCTGAGACGTGTCAGTCCCCTCCTTCAGCAGGATAACCGGTGTGGGCTGAAAGCAGGAGAAAGTGAGTAATTAATAATAATAAACTTTATTTACATAGCACTATTCATAACAGTGACAAAGCACACAACAGAAGCACAAATGATCAAAAAGATTAGTGAAAGTAGAGACCATTAAAGCAGCCAGAGAACATAAAAACAAAAAACAAAAAAAGGTCATAGGAACAATCAGTCCAATCAAGGCTCATTCTCTGATCTGAGACACCGCCCTAAACTTAAGGGGCTAAAAGATCCTTAAAGCAATTTAGAGCAAGATTGTTTAATGCTTTAAAAGTGACAAGGGGAAGTTTAAAGCCAACGTGGAGCTTTACAGGTAGCCAGTGTAAACTGGCAAGTGCTAGAATTATGTGATTATTATTCCTTTGTGCCAGAGAAGATCTGTATGCTGCACCTCTGAACAAGGACATAAAAAACTAAATGTCACACCATTGTAGCCACAGTCTGCATCTTCATGAATATTAGACAACGTAGACTAAGTGTAGGATGGGTGCCTATGACGATGTTGGATGGTGTTCATACATAAAAACTATGACTGTGCAATAACTCAATAATATTATACATATAACAGTGTACTAACAGCATCTCTCACACTCTACAACCAAACATGGGAGGAGACTGAGGCTGTAGGCTGTGATGCTTCATTACTCATCAAACATGCTGCTGTGTCACTGTCAAAACCTGGATGTCTGTTTGCAACTCACAAATTATTACCATTATTAGCGTTCAGATTTTTGCAGATGACAGTGCTGCTAAACCTGGTTTTATGTCTTAGCAGTCTGTTTAGATTAGCTTCTTTGCAGAACAGACAACTGAATGCTTCCTGTGCAGTCGTACAAAGAAGCTAAACACACTGATGCTAGCTGGACTACAATATGGCGAACAAAACATTAACAGACGATTTTAAAATTGCGTGGACCTAAAAAGCTAAAAGCTATCCTCGTATGCTTGTCATTCTGTAGCCAACCGAGCCCAGTGTTTCTTTTATCACCCGTTATTGCTACCATGCTAACTAGCATCACCGTTAGCATCGTATACGCCCATTGATTTTGAGCAGCCATACGATGCTAACGGTCTGGCTAACAAATAAATCTTTTAAAAATCATCTCCTCAAAATAACTGCTTTTAAACACAGCCAGCAGTCTGTCCTCTGAGCTAACGTTACTCTCGGTGCTACTGGCGGCTGATAAACTGAAGGATGGACCCGGATTATTGTCCAGAGTTTGGGGATAAAGGCTAACTGACTCACCATCATCTTTGCAGTTCCTTCGAGAAGCTTTCCGCCGGCATCCAATCCCACAATGCTTTTCGACAGCCGGAGCTGCTCGGGGTACGTTCAAGAACAGCCGCCATATTTTGTCAACCGTTTGAAATACACACATTTTCTGTAATAAAACACGACCTAGTTGATGTTGTAATTGTTAATTAACTTGTAGGTATTCAATATTAAGTAAACAAATAATAAAATAACCAATCGTTCGAAAATCAATGGGGATAAATTGCGTAAAATATTCATTGACCCATCAAAGCATGACACAATTAAGAACATACTCTTCATATTTTGTATAATATTTCAATTTGTTTAAATTATTAAAGAAAATAAACAGAAAAAATCTCTACATAGATATAAATTACACCCATTGGCAGCGTGTTCCTGAGAGTTTTGTGTAGTTTTCTGTACTTCTCTATATTTTTCCCAGTCTAATAACAACTAACTGTGCAGTACTTCATGCACAGAAAAGATTTGTGCAATGTACAGACACAAATGCTTATTTCAAAAAATATATTGCATATATTCCTGACGGTTCCATGTGTTTATACTGATATTTTTCTTCGTATTATGTTAGAATTTTAGGATTTTTTATTGAAGCATTTCCCAAAACATTGAATAAAAAGAATATAATTGTTCTTGAACGCAGCTTTTGTGACGTCTCGAAGCGCCGCTAAATTCAGGCCTCTGATTGGCTTGTGGGTCTCAGCCTGGCTTGCATTTGATATGTACATCAGGATGGGTAGTGCGGGCGGTGCTGTTGGTTCGTTGTGTGTTCCACAGCGCAGACTCCGCCTGGCGGGACAATCTGTACAACAAAACACGCGCGCACACGGTGTTCCCCAGAATTCGCGCGGAGTTTGGAAAGTGTACACACAGCGGTGGCGGGAGAGAGCAGGACGGATATTAACCAACGTTTAAATACTTTAAATAGCGTCGAAACAAAGGAAGATACGTAGGAATAGGTTTGGAATTGTTTGTATTTTCTGGAGGAAAGCGCAAAGATGGGGGACTTCGGAGTTTATGCGGTTTTTGGGGTGAACGGTCCGCCTCAGAAGCTGCTGAGGTAAGACATTTCTAAGGTTTTTAACCGCTAAATTACGTTTGCTAGCTATTAAATTCGTGTTTATGATTTTGAGCGTGTACTTGAACAACAGCTCTGTTGATTAAAATGCGTTTTTGTCTGGAGTGTTCTCCATTAGCTCAACTTTTATTGCTCCTCATTGGCGCCGTTTGAAAGTAGCCGTGTTTACAGACACGGAGAAACACTCTGTTCCTGTAAAACGCGTGCTAGCGAATATATTTATTCTATTCTTGTTTTTCCTGGACGTTAAAAGATGATTTTCTTATTATTTCTTTGTGTTTTGCCGTGTCAGTGCTCAAGGGTCGTGCAGGGTGGCTGTTGCAGTTCCTTCGACTGTCCGCCAGGTGGTGCTGTTCAGCAGCGGCCCGTGGGGGGACAGAGTCTGCGTCAACGCGGAGCTCAACGACGCTGATCGGATCCCCATCACCATCGGAAAACTGACTCCTTACAACAAGTAGGTTCACTCCGACTCACAGAACACAGTGGGAACCTCTCTGTCCCCCGGATTAGACACTGAGATGATATTTCTGCATTCAGAAATAAGAATAATCTGTATTTATAGAGCTCTTTTCAAGCCAGATAATTAAAGACAGATGAAAACACAGTTCAATGCAGTGCTGGAAAAGGTAAAAACTTGAAAGAAATAAAAGGTAGTTCAAAGATTAAAGTCAGGAAGGTTCTCAAATAAAAGTATGTTTTAGGCAGGGATTTAAAACAATGTGGCTCCTACTAGAAAGAAGAAGTTTGGGGACCCTTTGTGAACTGTGTGAAATATGTGGATTTAACAGAGAATCATCACAAAGAACTTTGTGTTGCAGCTGTTGCATTTTCCTATTGAGGCATTATTAATTTATAAACATGCTGCTTGTTTTTTTTAAATTGTGCATTCTATTTATTATTGGTTTTTAGGTTCTAGATTTTAGATATCTACTGCAAATCTTTATTTTTTCTGAACGCTGCTGGACTTGGGTCACTGATTTTATTCCATTATGATTCTTAGCATGTTGATTAACAACAAACTAAACTGAGCTCAACTTAATTATGTGTAATTTGTAAGGAATAAGACGAGAAGACTTACTTAAGACAACGAATGTGTTTTACCATCCGTTAGTTATTAGGAGAAGTTTATTGTTCTTTTCAGTATTTCTGTCATTTATTTGATCATGTAAAAATAAATGTTCTCCTTTTTTTGGTGTTCATTCAAATTTCTGCCATAAATTTGTATCCTGGTACAGCGATCCAAGACAAGCATGTAAAACGCTGTAAAATACACACACAAAAAAAGAATTTAAGTGACTCTGCCGACCTGATATTTGCTGGACAGATTGTTCCAGAGCCTCGGGGCCTGGACTGCAAATGCTTGCTCCATTTTGCTTTGTCCAGCTTGGCTAGTGGAACAGACAACAGACCTCTTTCGTGGTCCATAGCGGTTCATACAGTACCAAGAGGTCAGAAATGTGACTGTGCTGTTTAGTGCAGTGCTGAGTATTCTGATTAACAGGTAGCATGACGATGATGTCCGCTCTGTTTCTCCTCCAGGTGTCTGTCCTGGGAGCAGTGGGAAGAGGAGACGTGGACGGACAGCGTCACACTGAATGTCTCTCTGGAGGGATTGAACCTGGTAAATATCAAACAATCCTGAAGTTTTTCTTCTGACTAATACTTTGACTTCTGGCTTAAGGACATTCTGAGGAAACCCTGACAGTGAATTCTTGAGTGTTCCAGCTTATAGCCAAGCTACCGAGCAGCTAATGTAGAGGTACAGTGTTCGACTGCATGATAAAAAAACAAGCACTGGGATATTTAGTTTTTCAACAGAGGACTTCAGTAGCTTCATGGAACAAATTATTCATTCTACAGTGACTGGGGTGATTTTTGTAGCGGACTGCATCTGCATAGAAAATGGAAATTAATGTTTAAAATCTGTCAAAACAACTGCGGTGCCATCCAGAATAGTCTTTTTGCTTTGATGACATCCAGATCTGACTGTGAGCTCATCATACAGAGCTTTGTGGTGGTGATTTAAGTGATCATTGACAACTATTGCAAGAGTCTTCTGACAGAGTTCCTGTTTTTAGTGAACACTGTTGTTTCTGTAACTGAAATATTTCTATACAACTGATGTTGCATCATTTTGTTTGCAACCAAATCCTCCTTTTCAGTCTCCAGTTTCTTGCTCATTTTGCTGTGCACATGCAGAACCGGCTTGTCAACAAGCTGTTTTGCAACTAAGTTAAAAAAAAAAAAGTGTCTCCAAGATTAAAATATATGTTGTCAGCTAGACGTCTCTTGTAGATTACATAGGAAAACTGACAATTGTGCAAATTTTCTTTTTTGTATGCAGTAACAGAAAAAGTCGTAGCGTGATGTGTTTCAGTTGATTTGCTTTACGTTAGCGTTGCTGCAGTGTGACAATGATGCACGTCGTGATGCTAAAACAACATACTGAGCAGCCCTCCTACAGGGTCTATAAGGGAACCAACACTGGAGGGAAATAATGTTTAGTGGTCATGGGAAACAGTTGTTTTTCTTAGTTAAAGCTTTTAGGGCACAGACTAATGTAAATATGTCTTTTTTTTCTCAGACGACAGCAGATTGGAGCGAACCAGAGCTCATCCTGGCTGTGAAGGAGTACACACCAAAGGTAATCTAAATAAGATGCACCACATACCAAGACATAAAACACTTGTCATATGTCATAAATACTTTGTTAATTATTTTGAATGGCTGATATTAGTTATATTACAACTGTCCTCTGAAGCAGCCTTGTTTGATTAAACAGTTTCCAGTAGAGGAACAAGTATTAAGATCCATCCATCCATTTTCTATACACCGCTTAATCCTCATTAGGGTCGCGGGGGTGCTGGAGTCTATCCCAGCCGACTTAGGGCGAAGGCAGGGGACACCCTGGACAGGTCACCAGTCTATCACAGGGCTACACTTAGAGACAGACAACCAAGCACACTCACATTCACACCTACGGACAATTTAGAATCACCAGTTAACCTCAGCATGTTTTTGGACTGTGTGGGAGGAAGCCGAAGAACCCGGAGAGAACCCACGCTGCACGGGGAGAACATGCAAACTCCACACAGAAAGATTCCGGTGCCCCCACCGGGACACGAACCGGCGACCTTCTTGCTGTGAGGCAACAGTGCTACCAACTGCGCCAAGTATTCAGATCATTTATTAAAATAAAACCACCAATGCAGCAAAGTAAAAAATACTGCAATACAAGTCCTGCATGAAAAAGCCTGCAAGTATTAACAGTAAAATATCATTAAAGAATGAAAATATAGGCACTGGTTAGCCCCTCTGACTGATGAATTATTAAGTATAACATCATTACATTATAAATACAGCAGCAGCAGCATGTCAGCAGCATGTTACTGCTGTAGCTGCTGCAGGTGGAGCTGGTTTCAATCACGTTATAAACAGCTCTGCACACAAGGACGGCAAATACATCTGACATGAGTAATAGAAAAGAAAAGAAGAATCAACAGTTTTTGGAGTTCCCCTCTAGACTTTGATTTTTGCAGAGACATTGGATCATTTTAACATTTAATAAAACAAAAATGCGTCAAAAGTTTAGAGGGAAAAACCGCTATTTGATAGAACTCGTAGGCATCTGATATGTGAGCTGAAGCTGCTTTTTTGAAGCCAGAAATGTTAAAACTACTGATGAATCTTGAGAAATGGGTTTGATTTTAAAAGCTTGTTGTGTTATCCATTGTTTAAAATATTTATCTTAAATGTAAAGAAAGCTTTCAGATAGTTATAGTGGAGTTGAAAGTGTAACATTCCCTCTGACATGAAGACAGTACAAATACTAAAGTATATAAAAATTTAACAGAGCAGGACTAAATGTGCTTACTTAATTTCACACATTGACCTTTTCTTACTTTTCCCACAGCTCCATTCAGCCACTAGAAAGGAGGTAAATAATAAGAGGTGTCAGTTGAAATAAATGTCACGTCACTCCCAAAGCTCAACATGTCTGATTCTGAAACTACTGAGGCTGAAACTGGCTCATCTTGTTTGCAGACAGCCACTACTTTGTCCTCATGATCGCTAATTATACGCTGTGAGAAAACGGACACCGCGCTGAAAGACACATAATTATTGTTATCATTGCTTTTAGCTGCACCAGTTTTTCTCGCTGACGTTTCTTTTAAAATTGATCTCGCAGGACGCCGCTGCTCCCCCGACAGCCCGAGACCTCAAAGGCAAGAGGAAGAGGGACGAAGGAGAAGACGAGGACAACAAGGTGAACAAGACAGGAGAAGACGAGAACACGTGTCCAAATGGCGCCGTGGAGAAAACCACACCTGTGCGAAAGGCCAAAGGTCAAACCAAAGGCCGCCAGAAGCTGTTTGGTAGTGGAGCAGGTGAGAGAGCCGGTGCTTTGTCGTGTTGTTTGTCATATCTGTGCTTGTTTATATTTGGATATGAGATAAACAAGTTTTTTTTTTTGGATGGAAAGTGACAAAAAGTTGCTGGAGGTGTTAAAAGTGTTTGCAAAATCATCCCTGTATGATAATTAGTGCTACAGACACTCCTATGGCTCGCTGTGGAGGTGTAAAACATTTTCTTTGTGTGTGCGCTATTTTTTTTTTTCCTAATAAATCTTTTCTCTTCTGCAGCTAATGGAGCAGGAGAGACGCAGGGGATTGTGGGAAGAACGCCTCCTCAGAGCGCAGCCAGGACGAAGAGTAGGCAGGCCAAGACTCCCACACACAGCGGTGCGTTTGTGCATACACATCACATACCGTTTGGGTTGTTTTGCCTTTATTTATTTGTACCTTTCTGTCGTATTTATTCACCTGTCAGTCCCACAGCTGATGCGTTGATGCGCATCGCCCACCTGAGTTCATGTTTCCTGCTTCTCTGCTCAGTGCAGGAATGTAACACCGACTTGTGTGTGTGTGACTCACACGCAGGTATTTGTAGGTTTCTGCTACCTGGCCGGCGCTGTTGGTGCTCGCTCTTTAAAGGAACAGTTTGACATTTTGCGAAATACACTTGTTTAAGTTTCTTGCTCGCTGCTAGACGAGAAGATCAATAACACTCCTATATCTGTCCATCGAATCAGAGCCGGGAGGCAAATAGCTTTGTGCAAAGAACAGAAACAAGGAAGCTGGATCTGTCTGGGTGTTTAGAAAAGCTCAATCCAGCACCTTTAAAGCTCATTAATTAGCACTTTATGTCTTGTTTGTTTACGTAACAAAGAACATTTCGTTGTTTTGGAGGAGTCCACTTACCTCCTATTAATATTTCTTTAAGTTATGTCAAAGTATTTGCTTTTAAGGGCAATTTATAGAGACAACATTTCTTTAGCATTTCTAATTTCAGTTTCACAACAGCTTCACTTCCAGTTTCACAAACATGTTATTCCATCCACAATAGAGGCAACCATCCAGGTTTTCAACTCTCTGAAAGGAAACACACAGTGATGTTTCACAGCATGAACACACGTCAACTTTCCAAAAAGCAGCAGTTTAAATCACATTCGCTCTACAGATCAGCAAAGCCCTGCTTCGTGTTCCTTCCTTCTTAATGCCATGTCCAGTGGTGATGCTGAAGTCAAAGTTCTGATACCAGACTGTAAAAATACTTCACTAAAACTCTTCGTTTAAACAAAATGTGCTTAAAATATGAAAGCTAAAAGTGCTTATTTTGAACCTGTGATGTTTCATTTTACTACTTTAGATGTTAATTCAATCTATTTTATGTTTCTGGTGAATTTAACCAACAGCATTGTGTTCGGTTAGATCATCATGTGTTTGTAGAGTCACTGTTCTGTGAGATCACATCCGTCTGAAAGGCAACTTCTATGCATTTCCCCTCTAATCCATGATTATTTATAATCGTCTGTATATCTAAGCGTGTAGGAGAATGTTGTCAGCTCAGAAAGAAACACTTCATCCTTTAGTTTGATCACAAACGGTCAGTATTAACAAATCTGGAGATATGTGGTTTTTATTGGACAGGAAAATTACAGGCTGTAACGTAGCCAGTAACTAAAGCTTTCAGACAATGTAATGGAGTAAAAGTACAATATTTGACCTTGTGATGTAGTGTAGTGGAAGTATAAAGTTAAAAAACTCAAGTATAAATGTCTTAAATTCGTACTTCACCACAATAATTGAGTAATTGCACTTTCTTAAGCTGTAAAATAATTGGACACACATCAGTTGGTATGATATGAATGGGATGTCTTGTTCTTTAGTCAGTTTTTCAGATTAAATCTACTGTTGTTCACATGTTACTAACTGTATCTATAATAAGTCAGTCAGTTTGGAATCAGGTCATTAAATCAAAGCTTTGCCTTGAATCTGCAGCTAGAAGTCTGAATCTGAAGCTTCACTGGATGTTCTGTGTTGACATTTAGACGTTCGGTACATCCCGAGGTCGTGGATGAGTCATTTCACTCTGTTTTCCTGCAGCTCCTCTGCTCAGCCCGTCGGGTCGCTGGGGTCAGACTTTATGTCCCATCGATGCTCAGACGGCAATTCTGATTGGAGGGCAGGGAGCCAGGATGCAGTTCTGCAAAGATCCCATGTGGAAGCTCTGCACGGGTCAGTCAGCCGTAAAGGACATTTAATTATCTCTTTAATATCAGAGGTCTGTGTTTGCATGTTAGACTCTGTGTTCTCTGTCCAACAGAGGACTTGTCCTGGGTGGCTGCAGAGACTCTGGCAGAGGGTCCGACTCCCGAGGCCAGGATCGGTCACACGGCCGTCTACGACCCCGACACCAGACGGATCTTTGTGTTCGGAGGCTCCAAGAACAAGAAGTGGTTCAATGATGTTCACATCCTGGACACGCAGAGCTGGAAGTGGACCATGGTGGAGGTGTGTGTGTTTACAGACTTCCTCCTTGTTTCTTCTCTTTCTTCATGTTTTAATCCCTTTTTTCTCCTCCAGGCTCAAGGTAAGGTTCCTCCCCTGGCCTACCACAGCTGCAGCATGTTTCGGGGGGAGCTCTTCGTGCTGGGAGGGGTGTTTCCTCGGCCCAACCCGGAGCCCGACGGCTGCAGTGACTCGCTGTATATCTTCGACCCTCATCTCTCCATCTGGTACCAGCCCATCGTCACAGGAGACAAACCCTCACCCCGCTCAGGGTAACAAGGCCTGATTAAAAAAACTTTATTTTACTCACACAAACAAACATTTGCAGCTTTACAACTTCCTCTTTATTTTTTCCTTCCAGCCACTCTGCATGTGTGATGCAGGAGAGGAAGATCTACGTGTTTGCTGGGTGGGACACTCCTGTCTGCTACAATGATATGTACATGTTGGACCTTGGTGAGAGACAAACAGAAGGAATATGCATCTGGGTGAAGGTGTAAATACAGATCAGTGCATTCATGATTAAAGGTTTTTCTCTTTCTTAGGTCTGATGGAGTTTTCTGCCGTCAAAACAAGTGGGAAAGCCCCTTCTCCTCGAAGGTACACAGCTAATCACATACTGTAGTTACAGCCAAGGCTGGTATCATGACGACACTTAACATGATTTATGAATGAAAACAGAAGGATTTGCAGAATAAGTTAGTGAGTTATTGATTGAACACACAGTAATGTTGATATTGGTATCCAGACTTTGATATTATAACCGTATAAATCTGAAAGAACAAAAAGTCTTCCGTGTGGCTCTGTTTTATAACATATAATCAACACGTCTGTTTGTGTTTGCGTGTGTTGCAGCTGGCATGGCAGCGCCGTGCTCTCAGACACAAAGTTCCTCATCCACGGCGGCTACAACGGAAACAACGCCCTCAGCGACGCCTTCGTCTTTGATATCGGTGAGAGGCGGCTCATGTACTGTGAAGGAGGCTTTTAGTCATTACAGTGTTTTTAGGAAACAGTTGGTAAAGATCAACGTACACACTGGTCACAGAGCTACAAGGTGGAGCAGTAGGTAGCACTGTTGCCTCACAGCTAGAAGGTCGCCGGTTCGTGTTCCGGTGAGGACACCCGGGATCTTTCTGCGTGGAGTCTCCATGTTCTCCCCGTGCAGCGTGGGTTCTCTCCGGGTTCTCCGGCTTCCTCCCACACAGTCCAAGAACATGCTGAGATGAACTGGTGATTCTAAATTGTCCGTAGGTGTGAATGTGAGTGTTCTTGGTTGTCTGTCTCTAAGTGTAGCCCTGTGATAGACTGGTGACCTGTCCAGGGTGTCCCCTGCCTTCACCCTGAGTCAGCTGGGATAGACTCCAGCCCCCCACGACCCTAGTGAGGATTAAGCGGTGTATAGATAATGGATGGATGGACACTGGTCACACATTTAATGAAAATCCAACAGGTGTCTTAGCCAGGTATTGGACCACCATTTTCAGAAAAAACATCAGAACATTTCAGGCTTTTAGCTTTCAAAGTTTCCGAGATATTGTTATTTAACATAAGCTCAAATTTGAATGTGAAAAAAAAAACATGCTGAAAGTTAATTATCTGGGAAAGTACTTGATAAATATCCATATTTTCTGCTGTTATACTTCAGGCAAATCTAAGGTGGTCAAGTTAAAAGCAAAAATGTGTTGATTTGAGATAAAAACAGCCCACCTCTGATCATTATATGATAATATCTCTGATGATACTGTGATTCTGAGCTTTCTACACAAGGCCGTGGCCCCGTCTGTGTCCCACATTACGATAAATGCCTTCATCAAGCACTGTGGCATTAACCGTACCATTCTAAATGTCAACAAAACACGGGACATGGTTTTTCACCCGAGACAGCTCATGATGAGCCAAGAGTCATCAAAAGCCCCATAATGACTCGACTGTCCTTGTCTAAATACAACCTCCTTGGCTGGAAAACACACACTGATAATTTGATGGGGGGGAAACTGCAATCCTGGACGGCACCGTTAGATATGAAGTTACAGCACTGAATGGTAACCTGACTGTGAAACGGAGAAGCAGCTTGCAAATATGCAACTATGAAGGTGGTTGGAATGGAAGAATTCAAGCCCATACAGATCCAGACAGTCGTGAAACAGGCAAAAAGAAAAAAATCACAAGTTTCCTCTCCAGGACAATAAAGTTTACTTTCTTTACTTTCCAGCTCACTAATCAACACATTCCTTCTCATTAGTTTCTTCCTGAAAAATTCCAAAGTGTAAAAACAACACTTTGGCATTTTGCAAGGCGTTAATGTGCACAACAGTTTCTCTGCCATGTGCGGAGACTTCCTGGAGTCTTGTCATCACTGTGAGCTTGTTGAACAACCAACAGAGGAATTACTGTTCACGGTGGAGAAATCTCATCTAACTCGAGAAAAAATGTCTCTTACTAATCATAAGAAGTAAAAAAAAAGTGTTGATTGCAAGCGGATTTCCAAAAATATTCAGTGTACTGATGCATAAAGCGAGGTGGAGTCAAGAAAAGCCCTTTATGTTATTGCACCTGTTACATTATTACTATAACGCTAATAAAAATGTCGACTTTCCATCTTTCAGACACCAACAGCTGGACGGAGGTGACGCTCCCCCAGCTGTCCGCGCCCAGGGCGGGCCACTCCATCATCACCATGGAGACAGCCGGTCGCCGCCGTTTCCCAGAGGACGGCGAAGACGCGGACGCCGGCTCCGTCGGCAGAACTCTGCTGGTGTTCGGAGGCGGAGACAACGAGGGCAACTTCTACTCCGACCTGACGACTGTCGCTGTGGAGGAGCTGCTCGGTGCTATTTAAGGAGGGTGAGTCAGAGGTGAATCCTCACTGCCTGACTGGATGTGAAGCTACTTCGACTCCCCCACACCTGCCTTTATTATTTATATACTTAGAGGGTTTTTTTGTTGTTGAATGTGCCCTTTCTTTTACAGCTATGTGCTTCGAAAGGTTTATTTGTGAAAATCATCTACATATAATGCTAATAGAGATCTCAAAAGCCGAGCTGCATTACTGCTTTTTAAAATCCAATAAAACAGAGAGATGTTGTCTGATTCATAAAAACCATCCTCTTGATTCAAAACATCAAGTAAGTTAATTTTATGTACATATGTTTAAAGCTTCTATTTTTTTCTCAGGTAAAACTTTTGTTTCGATTCTGTTGTCTTCTCTGTTTATGAACAAATGAGACCTTTAGTGCTAATTTGGAACATGGTACCTCCAGATTGCTGCATCACCTGTATTCTATCATGTTCAGTCACATTTTGTATTCGTCATCTCAGTGAAAACCAAAATCTCAGTTCCTGTTGCTGTGCTGTTGCGCTTCTGTTCTTGTTTAATAAACGTTTGCCTTTAGAGCAGAATCTTCCTTTAAGTTGACATTTAGTTTTTCTGCTTTAACACAACAGTTTCCATTTCCAGAATAACAAACCTGCCTTTTCAGTTTGACATCAAACAGCGTGAGGTACCCTTCATACCGAATCGTGTCACGCCGATGTAGTTTAAACGAGGTTTGACACTTTAAAACAAAAAAAAAGCCCGTTAATAACATCCCTGCCGGCGCGGTAACTCGACACCAACACGAGCTAATGTGAGACTCGTGGAGTAACGCTGATGTTGTCTTCAAAGAGCAACGAGCTAAATGGAGACTTTTTCTTTAATGAAAGATTAGTGGAGCTTGAGAGAGATTATCTTCGTTTCCTCTGAATTGCTGATAATGGTGTCATGAATATGACTGTTTTCACTTTAATATTTTCATTGGATTACACACCACAGACAGACTTCTATTTGGTAGCATGAGGGCCTCTTCAGAGGGCGTGTTCTTCAGATGTTCCGGCTTTCAGGGTCAGAGCTGTCGTTTAGGGCGCTAAAGTAATCGTTTTTTTAAATAGAAATTTGGGGACTTTTATAAACCCTAAAGACGGCACTGTGGCACAGGAAATGTTTCCGTCTCGGTCTGCCCTTCAGAAGAGAAATTATTCATTAAAAGCTGTCAGAAAACCCAGTGGCAACAGGATTCAACAGCTGAAAACTTCCACGGTTTATCAGGGATGTCGGTTTGGGCGCCAGAGACTGAAATATCTCGATGGATTGCGCTGAAATTTGTTGCTCAGACTCGTGCCCCCCTCAGGATGAAGTGTAATAATTTTGGTGATTCCTTAACTTTTAATGAAATGCCAAAACTTTCCAAGTGCCCCAAGTCTTTACCTGCAAAACTAATGACATTCTCATGAGCTGAACAAGGAGTTTGGTTCTAATCTGATCTGCAACAGCGGCCTGGAAGTTACACAGAAAGAAGAAACTGTGATCGTGATTTTGTGCACCTGGAAGCTGAAGAAGTCACAGCTCTTATTTGGATCTTACTACAAAAAAAACAAAAATGAGTTGGAGGCCATGAGTCTGGTTTCACCCACTCCATGGCATTTCCTCTGGCGATGCAAAGGAAAGCTCGACTTCCTCAAAAATATTCAATCAAAAGCAAATCGGTTTCCTCATTTTACACTCGTGGATACACAACTTTTCCCACTTGATGTTTTCTTTCCACAGCAAATCATAAAACACGCTTTGTGTACGTAACGAGCCGCAAAGCAACTCTTCATTACTTTGTCATAATTAAAAGTAATATGTTTGAGTTCATTTATTTTTAATTTAATCTCTCTAATTACTAAAGTACATCATGTTGCACTTACTGTGATTGTAGCACAGTCTGCACAAAAGCCTGTTTTTGGCTGTGGTTCTCGCTGCACTCGTTTTGCCCACTCTGTGAGTCAGCACCTTCTAAATTGCGAGGTCGAGGCAGGATATTTATCCTATTGGACTGTTAAAGCAGCGTCCCTGTTTGATCATCTACATAATAGGTGAGTAATATCCTGCGCTGGTGGCCTAAAGCGGTGGTTCAGACCTTTTTTTCTTTGTCTGATGTAACCCCACAGAGCCCCTTCATCATCACACAGCTTGTTCCACATGGATAAAAATGAATATTAGAATAAAACCAGTGATGATCCTGGAATTGCTGCTTTTTAGATTTTAGAGCTGATTAGTGCTGCTGATTATCCAAAATAATCTACTAAAGATTAACAATGTGTGTGTTTACTTTCCTCTTAAGCACAAATATGTGGGTATATTTATATATTTGTTGTCATAAATATTATCTACTGCTGCCACAAAGTAAAACAGATCCTACACAGGTGTTCAACTTTAACCTTGTTCTTTTTGTTAAGGAGTTTGCATTCTTATTGGTTCATGAGGTGATTTCAGCAGAGCTCCGCCCACTTTGACAGGGGCCAATTAGACAAATTTGTACCACCTGTGTTTGTGTGTGACTAATGCTTGAATTTGTCAGGTGTCCTGATTTGCTAAAATAACCCCAAACAAGCTATTATTATTTTCTCAGTTGATTTTAATAAATGAAAATGCATTGTATGATGGTTTTATCCATTATAAGGACATAAAATTGCATTTATTGTTATTTATTGTTATTTATCAGCAACCCTGTAGTATATGAATAACATGCATGGGACAACAGTGGGCATCTCAAAAGATTAATAGCATACCAGAAAAGATTTTTAAGCTGCTTTTATTGATGAATAAATCTAATAAAATAAGACTTTTGGCACTGACCAGGTGTATGTGGATTTCCCAGGTGGTATCTTCTGTCAGACTAAGTTGGGGAAAGTGGACATGTAGGGAGCTGATTCAAAACATTCACCTAAATGTATTAAAATGACAATAAAATGTGGAAGTCGACAACATCTCCCCTCAAACAGGGAATCTTTGTGCTGCACAAGTGTTGCAGGAGCAAACAGAAGAAGCTTGATGAAAAGAGTGGAAGCTACATTTGCTGATAATTGGCCTTTCAGGTGGGCTGAGGTTGCTTTCAAGACAGTGGAGGTGACGTCTCATGTGCTCAGACACACTAAAAAAACAGTTTTTCTAATTGGATTCTCAAAAGTTGTCACCTTTTTTGTTGCACACCAGAAAAAATATCATGTTCATGCAAATCCCTGCTTAACAAAATGTGTGATTTTTTTAAAAAATTGTTTAATTACATCCTCACTTTGTTCCAACACTGGCTTCCTGAAATTGTGAAATGAATCCTAACAGCTGGAAGATTCATGCTCGGGTGGCTTCAGATCACATGTGCAACAGTGTGACAGAAAAAAGCAGGATGGTGGCAATAAAGACCTGCGTGTTACACCGCTGAGTGACAGACAGCGTGACTAAGGTGGATTTCTGGAGAGAGAGAGGAAAAAGAAAAAAAAACGACGAGGAAAAACCCTGGCGATAATATCAAACGTCTGATGGTGTGTGCAGCCTGCCAGGCTCTACGGGGGGAAGTACTGACTGCATATTAAAAATAACTGTTATTACAGCCTCAATCCGGCCAGATACGCTTGGCACCGTGAAATGGGAGACTGGAGATACAAAGGCTGGTATGTGTTTTTAATGCTCATCCAATGAGACTTAAAATACACCAGAATCAGCTGCAATTAACAGTCTGCGGTTCAGCCTCCTACTCGGTGTGTTATTGCTGCTTTAGAGGAAAAATAGGAGAGTGGCAGCCAAGAAGATGGATAGATAGATAGATAGAT